GGGTGGGGGGATGGGTTAGCCTGGTGATGGGTGTTGAGGGGGGCACGTTCTGCGTGGAGCACTGGGTGTTATGCACAAACAGTGAATCATGGAACACTACATCAAAAACTAATGATGTAATGTATGGTGATTAACATAACAATAAAAATTATTATTAAAAGAGTATGGTTCTGGGTCACCTGGGTGGCTCAGTGGGTTAAGCATCCAACTCTTGATCTCAGCTCAGGTCTTGATCTCAGGATCATGAGTTCAAGCCCTGTATTAGGTTCCACACTGGGCTTACAGCCTACTTAAACAAACAAACAACCAAACAAACAACCAAGCAGTGTGTTTCTGGCATAAGCCAATGGAGCAGAATAGAGAGCCCAGAAAGAAACCCACTCTGATATGGTCAACTAACTAATCATCGACACGGGTGCCAAGAACACACAGTGGGGACAAGACGGACCTTCCTCAAATGCTGTTGGGAAAGCTGGACTTCCACACAACCACATGCAGAAGAAGGAAATTGGAACCTTTATCTTATGGCACCAACACCATAAATCAACTCATAATGAACGTGAGGCTTCAATGTAAGTCCTGAAACTGTAAAACCCCGAGAAGAAAACAGAGGGGAAAGCTTCACCGTGCTTTCCTATGCTCAAGGAGTTTCTACTTTTCTGCCTTCTTTCAGATTGAGCAAGTGATAGTTCATATTTTCCCACCATCCTGCTTTGTAAGTTCACCGTTCTATTCGCCTTACTATAGTGGCTGCTTTGAAATTGTTACCCTGTGTCCTTGCTGTGGGGATCCTGAGGTCGGACATCAAGAGTGAAAAATGCTGGGTAGCTTTTCCCTGTGTCTCCCAGGGCAGCATCCAAGAACTCAGACTGCTGGGTCAAAGCTACCATTTCACGGTTCTTGACTGGTTTTGGAATTTTCATCATTTGCAAAGATAAGTAGTATGATGAACCCCCAACTGCCATCACCCGGGTCCAGCCCAGTGTCCTGTGCTCACCATGCACTTTCCCAGCAGCAAGTGTGTCTCAGCAAACCTGAGACCTTGGGTCTACTTTATCTGTAGCCATCTCCATATTTGTTTTAGAATACGGGGATCCCCTTTTATGCATGCCCACCACACCATCACCACATTACAAGGATTTAGTGCAGCTCCTTAGTGTGCAGACAGTGTTCACGCCTCCCCGGCCACCTTACAGTTCCCTGGTCGGTCTTTTCTCATCAGTGGATATCCTTCTACCTTACCTGTACAGCTTCTTGCTGCATTCCCAGTACCCAGATTGTCACTGAAGGAGCGATGCTTAGTGTCAGTGTGATCATCTATGGTGTGGCTGTGCTGTTGGGTGTTCAGCCATCCTCCCGTCTGAGGCATTCCGGTGGCCCCATGTATCTGCAGCTGCACGCAAAGCTGCAGCAGCCTCACTGTGCCTGTACCCCCATGTGTACCCTCATGTGCTGATGTTTCTTTCTGTGGGGTCACACGGATTCCCAGGAAAGGAGGGTGTATGTCAGAGACTGGACATCAGGTACATTCTGCCAGAAGCTTCCAGACACAGTGTCACCCCGCACATTCCTCCTAACATTAGGGTATACCTGTGTCTGAATATAGATGTGTCTCTTGTTCCAGATTTTGCTTTTGGTGTCGTTTCTACCAATAATTTACCTGAGTAAGACTTTCTCCATCTGTTTTTTTGTTTATGTATTTAAGTAATGTTTACACACAACGTGGGGCTCGAACTTACAACCCAGAGATCAGCATCACAACCTCCACTGACTGAGCCAGGGAGACATCTCAGTTTTGATTTAAAAGTGTTATATTTTTGCACTTAGACTTATGATCTATTTTGTGTTAATCTTTGCAATTGAGACAAACTTTTTTTTTTGGCATAAAAATGTCTAGTTGTTCCAACACTATTTGTTGAAAAAAACTATCCTTTATCTAGTGAATGGCCTTTCTACCATTGTCAAGAAGTCAATTACCCTTATTGGTCTGGCTCTATTCAGGGCTCTGTATTCTGATCCATTGATCTACCACCACCACTACACTGGATCCGTTGCTACAACTTCAGAGTCAGTTTTGAAAGAAGGTAGTGTGATGCTCACTCCTTCATTCTTCTTTTTCTACATTCTTTGAGTTCTTCCAACTTTTCTATCTTTGTATGTAAGTTTGAGGAACAGCTTATCTATATCTACAAAAAGTCTTGCTGGGATTTTGATTGGGACTGCAGTTAATCTGTACACCATCTAAACAGAACATGTGTTTACCACATCAAATCTGTCAATCCCTGAACATGGTATGTCTCCCCATACATTTAAGTCTTTTAACATGTCTTTCTTCAAAATTTTGTAGTTTTCAAACACAGATCCCTTGTATGTTTTCTATAGACGTATACCTGCATATATGATTGTTTTTGGAGCTAATGTAGATAATATTTTTACAATTTCTGCTTTCTAAATGTAGTTTTTTCTGTTGCAGTCTTGCATCCCAAGACCTCACCAAACTTATGTATTCATTCTACAAAGTTTTCTTATAGATTCTTTGGAATTTTCTAATCATGTCATCTGTGAATACAGTTTTCTTTCTACCTTTCCCATATGTTTACATTTTTAAATTTTTCATTGGAGTGGCATGACTTCCATTATGATGTTGAATGAGACTCATAAGAGTACATTTCTCTCTTATTCCCGGTTTCAGGGAGAATATACAGTGCTTCACCATCACACATGATGTAAGCTGCTGGATGTTTTTGGAGATGCCCCTTACTGCTATTAATTGATTGTAGAGAATAATTATTAGTTTTGTTACTTGTAATAGTGGTAGAATAGATTAAAAAAAATTGTTCGTTGATGGTGGATGCATACTCAATTGCTTAGGGTAAAAGTATATGATAGTTAGGATTTCTCTATAAACTTTCCAATAAAAAAAGGAAAATAAAGGGAATGAACAGATGAAACATGTTTGGAAAATTCTGCTGATTTTTCATGCTGAATAAAAGGACTCACATGGATTCATTCATTACACCTTTCTTTCTCTAAACTTTTTGTATATTCAAAATTTTCCATAATAAAAGTAAAGAACAGTAGAGTAATTAAGAGATATTGTTTCTTGCAATCATTGGAACCCAAAATATCACAGAGTGTGCACTAGATGTCAGGGACTCTGGGACAGGGTGGTAGACAGACGCTTGTCTTCTGAGACAGGATTGCGTGTGTATTAAGGTAAAATGTCTTATGATGGAGTCCAACAGCCAAAGACCACCAATGTGAAGTTAGGCCTACCGACTGTTGAGGCAAGGGAGACAGCACCCCAGGGGAGCCAAATGGAGGGCTGGCTGGGGTGATCAGAGGATTTGGGAAAGGGTGGGTTGGGGCAAAGTTAAATGAAGCTGGGTTGGAGATACTTGCAGCAGAGCAGGTTTATGTGTAAAAGGGCTTAACGTTGGGCCCTGCTGGAGGAGCCGACTCAGGGTCCCCAAAGGTAAGATAAATGTGGGATGTTGTGTCCACCCACCCCCCAGCTCTGCTGAAGCTCTGCATCCAGTTGGAAATGGAGGCTACTTCTTTGTGTCAGAGTCACCGACGTGGCTCAGATCCTGCAGGCAGCAGAGGTATGTTCCTGTTCTTATTGATATGGTTTCAGACAGCGAAGATTTTACAGGCGGGGGATACTCAGCACAATGTCCTTGATGCTAATTAACAAAAGCAGCTGTCCAGGCTCACCGTGGTACGCCCAGGATTCACCAGCCAGTCATGCTCCTCCTTGAGAGCATTCCCCACGTGCACATTCGCCACTAGCTGTAATAGTGAACTTGAACTGAGAACGCAATGTAACACATGTACCTATAACAAGAGCCCACAAGTCTTTCTGAGCATTTACTACTTTCCAGGACTGGCCAAACAAATGACAAGGTGTGCCTCATTTCACTAACCTGCACGAAGCCTTTAGACTCCAAAGCGTCAGGGCATGTTCCAGTTTGGGAAAATCTCAGCTTTCGGAGGCTAATTCATGGAGCTCACCACCACCACCGAGCCCAGGTGCCCTCACTGCCCTTGAACATGAAGTCTTCGGGTGGGCGCAGCATTTTTAGAGGGAATGGAGGGCTTCTGCCTTCCCAGAATCCTGTCAAACATGCTGAGTTCTGTTCCTTCCTATTTCTTCTTCCACCTAATAGGTGTCTACCAAGTCTCCATACACACATGGCCATACAAGGACCTGCAGATAGGGTCCTGGTCTCCAAGAAACTCCCGCTCCAGCGGGCATCGCCTGGTCCATGTCCGGTTTGCCCTCCAAGTCTGGGTAGGTCTTGTTCAGGCAAAGTGCATTCCTTCCTTAGAGGAAGGTAAGGAAAGCTGCCTGTTTTGTTCTGGCAGGATGGTCACCCCGTGCTCCCAGGACTCCTGCCCCCTGCCCCACCTACATGCACCTACAGAGGATCCAATGTCCAGAAATATTCGCTTCTGAACTGCAGCATCCCAGGGAGCGTCCCGAGCTTTGCTGCCCCCTAGAGGAACGCCTGAAGAATGTCACTCTGGTGCTTCTGGGGTTACGCTTGCAAGTAGAACAAATTTTCACTTTTTGTTTTTTAATTTTCTTTGCTTTTACTTTTGAAAAGCTACAGCAAGATATTGAAAGGTATCCTCGATGTATGGTAGCAAGAGCTATGGGAATGAATATGTCATTCCCACAATATCATCACTTTTGCTTGTATGGGTAAACATTTCAACTCAAGAGGCCTGGGATTGAGTTGATGAGGACTTGCTTTTATCATTTTACAGAGTTTGTCAAATTCACGTCCAGGTGGTGAAACCAGAAACCTTATATCTATTTAGTAGCGTAAATGATATTTAGGACATACATGCACATTTTCAGGATTAAAATTTGCTTTAAAACAAAGGTCAGTCCATCTGGCCTCCTTTGGTGGGGCCGCCCTGTGTGCTTTGTGCTGGGGGCTCTGTGGCCAGCCGGGCCTGAAACGCTCTGCACCCCACAGACTCACCTGCCTTCCATCTAAGCCTGGGCTCACAAGGCTCTCCAAGAAACCTCCTTCCCTCCCCGGGCAGGCCTGGAGTGTGCTGCCTTCTGAGTCTTGCACAGCCGTCAGGGGCCAGCCGGCGCGTCCCTGTCATCATCTGCGCACTGACTCGCCTCACTCGACTCCTTGCCCCTCAAGGCTGGGCCCTTTCCCGCTCCCTCTGCAGCTGCAGCACTCGGGGGGGGGGCCCAACATCATCTGAGCCTTTAATAAACAGCTGGTGAACGCACAAGGGACAGGGGAGAGCCAAGGGGACAGCAGTGCACCGGGGGATGGGACCGCGAGGGCAGGGGGCGGGCGTTATCTGATTCCCAGTGGAGCAATGAGGAAGAAAAAGGTCCTGATGGCAGAGGACTCACACCAAGAGGGAAGGTGGAGGAAGAACGTTTTGGGCCGTACTTTCTCCTCACAGCATTTAGAGCAGACTGTCGCCACCCCTTTGTGTGGCTGTTTGTTGGGTCTCGTTCCCCTCTTTTCTCACCACGTCTCAGGCTGGCCTGTGCCCAGGGATGAGGGAGTCATGGGAAGCGCTGGGCGGTGCAGCGAGGCCGGCCTCGTGGCCGGGGAGGGGTGGCAGGCTCGTGCGGGCCCAGGGTCCAGCCGCCTCCAGGCAGCTGCCCGCCCCACGGCCCTCTGCGGCCCTTCCTTCTCTGTGGCTGGAGGCGTGCCCTTCACCAGCTGGCACACGGCGGCCTTACTCTGCTCTGGGTCCTCTTCCAAGCGTTTTATGTGTTTTAACTAATTCTCATTTCAACCTGTTATGGGTTGAATTGTGTCCCGTCCCCCCTACCCCCACCACCACCCCGCACCAATGCCCAATACCTGTGACTACCACCTTCCTTGGACACAGGGTCTTCACAGATTCCATCAAGATGAGGTCATTAAGGTGGGCCCTGATCCCATATGGCTTGAGTCCTCGTAAAAAGAGGGGAATTGGGGCCAGAAACACACACAGGGAGACCACCACGTGAAGAGACACACGAAGGGATGACAGCCGTATGAACACGGACACAGAGACTGGAGTGACGCAGCCACACACCAAGAACGCCTGGGGCCACCAAAAGCTGGACGAAGCAAGAACACATCCTCCCCCAGGGCCTGCGGAGGGAGCATGGCCCGGCTGACAGATTTCAGACTTCCAGCCCCCAGAACCGTGAGAAAATAAATTTGTTGTTTTAAGCCACCCCCTTTACGGTACTTTGCTGTGGCCGTCCCAGGAGGCTATTCGCAATCCTGTTATTATTTATGATTATCTCTGTGGCAACAGAGGCCCAAGATCACCCATTAGCAGGTGGGAAAGCTGGAGCTTAAACCCAGGCTAGAGAATTAGCCACTGTGCTCTACTGCGCCTCAAGACTAGACTGGAACCTTCTTTCATCTCTTGTGATGAATGAAACGGGCAGGACACTCAAGCTCGCTGAGCTGGTCCACGAACCTGCAAAGTGGGAACAAAACCCCGATCAGGAGCCGGGGACCTGCAGGAGCGTCCGCGGTGGAGCTCAGCAGGGGCTCGGCAGAGACTGAGCACGGGCTAAGGCACAGCCCGTCCCCCTGTCCACGGTCACAGAACTCACTGGTTAAGAGCCCAAGTGCGCAGCTCCAGAGCTGTCTCCGCCCACCAGCTGGCCCCCTCGTACTCTCCCCCGAAACTCGAACCTGACACCAACGGCGCGAGGACGCATTTGCACTGGCAGACAATCTGATCCATTCGATTCAAAATCAGAAACTTCTCTCTCAATCAAATGCCTCTCCCCAAATCCCACTCAATAACTTTCACATCTTTACACCTTAAAAAAAGGATAAATAGCTCCTGTTCCGATGGAAAACATTCTCTAACCAAAGAGTTAGTTCTGCGTAATTCTGTAATGACACATTTCTATCAACAGTCCTAGTGTCTTTCCCACTGTTCCTTCTCCTCGCCACGTAGGACTGCTTCTAACCAAGTATGAAAGAGGGAAATAGGAGACAAGATTTCTTCCTTCTATTTGTCACAAGAGGAAACAAAGGTCTTGAAAGAAAATATTTTCAGTTAGCAAATAACCACCATAAAACAAAGATTTAAAAATGACACTCATTTCGATCCTTTATTGTACTCGATCAATTGCTTCATGTATAAAAGTACCTATAATAGTAGTGAATAAAAATAAAACTTTATTTAAAATTTACCACTGGTTAGGTGTATACGTGGTATAAGGAACACTAGACCCTTCGCAGATCACCACAGCCCACGAACGGCTAATGCACAATGTAAGTTCTGTTTTTGTGCCGAGTCCCGTGAAAACCCAGGCTCTCCACGTTCCGAGGCCTAGAGCCAGCACTGCTTCCTGTTACCAACGGACGCCCATGTTTTGAGGAAATAGTTTTCTTTGTAAATACTCCACCAATTCCACTCTTGATTTTATCATCTCGATCTCATAATAGGGGATCTGTAAAGGAAGGGAAATAAAAGAAAGACATCATAATCCATCACGTTCTGAAGCACCTTGGTGTTCTGGTTTCTCGAGCCCGCCCCCCTCGGCAGCATGTAGGCCCCCGGAGGGCAGAGCTCACAGCCGTTATCGTGTACCCCCAGCGCCTCCGACAGTGCCCGGCACACAGGCGGGGCTCAGTACACCAGCAGCAGAACATGCCGAGAACACGGTCACTCCAGCGCTGGCAGAGCCTCACGTTCCAGTTGAGGGTGGAAGGAGAGCCAGAGCCAGGGGCCGAGACAGAGCCAGAGTCTGGATCCTCAGAGCGGTGGAGACCAGTCTGATGGGGGAAGCAGCGTGGGCAAAAGGAGAAAGGCAGGAGGGCATGGAGAGGGATGGGGGGCAGGAAAGAGGCCGCTGCGCTTGGAGCGGAGGGTCTGGCTGCCGGCCAGCTGGGGGGCTCTTGAACGCTCAGATGTAGACGGGTTTGCGCTTTCTCCTGTAAGCGGTGAAGGGACAATAAAGGTTTCTGAACACGCACTGGCGTGTTATCTCTAGAAAAGTTAGTCTGGGGATGTAGGTGAAATACGGAGTGGAAAAAAGGAACCAGACATGAGAGCAGACTGGCAGCTGGGCAGCTCCATGCACCTTCACCGCGGACTCCTCACAGGGGACCTTGGTGAGCCATCGATACCGCAGACGCAAGCAAGTGCCGAGGCCTTAAAAGTGTTGGTGAGGGGGCGCCTGGGTGGCTCAGTCGTTACGCATCTGCCTTCAGCTCAGGTCATGGTCCCAGGGTCCTGGGATCGAGCCCCGCATCGGGCTCCCCGCTCTTCTGGAAGCCTGCTTCTCCCTCTCCCACTCCCCCTGCTTGTGTTCCCTCTCTCACTGTGTCTCTTTCTGTCAGATAAATAAATAAAATCTTTAAAAATAAATAAATACATAAAAGTGTTGGTGAGGATCCCGGTTTTAAAGGGTCCTCTTGTCTATCCCGGTTTTAAAGGGTCCTCTGTCTATTAAAGGGTCCTCTTGTCTATTCATTATATCAGGGGGAAATGAAAGTAAAACAGATATTCTACTAATTTAGTAATTCTAGAAGCAGAGGTTAGCATAGCTTATAGAGAATACAGGGATGCCTCACTTTTGGAAAACGGAAGGTCTGAAGCTTCTGTATTTCGAAATATAAATACAGAGATTAAGCCTAATGAACAAAGTTGACATTTAAACTAGATGTAAGATCCTTGGTCCACTGGGCTGGCAGACTACCTAGCACCCTGGGAAAAGCAAATCTTAAAGTAGAAATTGCTTTTGGAGGGGCGCCTGGGTGGCTCACTCGTTAAGCGTCTGCCTTCGGCTCAGGTCATGATCCCAAGGTCCTGGGATCGAGCCCCGCATCGGGCTCCCTGCTCCGCGGGAAGCCTGCTTCTCCCTCTCCCACTCCCCCTGCTTGTGTTCCCTCTCTCGCTGTGTCTCTCTCAAATAAATAAACAAAATCTTAAAAAAAAAAAAAGAAATTGGTTTTGGAGCAAAGGAAACAGGAGAACTCATACCTGAACAACGTGATAACCAAGCAAGCGCAAGTGTCTCTGTTTAGTAGCTTCCTTTCCCAGTAAGTGTTTGCTATTCAGAGAAAATCTTTTTGGATCATCAATGCACAGCGCTACCCTGAAAAATTATAGGGGGAAACTTATTTTTTTGTTATGTTTTAAGTTCTTTATTTAAATTCAATTTAGTTAACATAGAGTGTATTATTGGTTTCAGAGGTAGAGGGCAGTGATTCGTCAGCGGCGTCCAACGCCCAGGGCTCATCACACCACGTGCCCTCCTTCGTGCCTGTCCCCCAGGGACCCCATCCCCCACCCACGACCCCCCAGCTTGTCCTCCCCCTAGTTAAGAGTGTCTTATGGTTTGCATCCCTCTTTTTTCCCTCCTTCCCCTACGTTCACCTGTTTCTTAAATTCCATATGAGTGAAATCATATGGTATTTGTCTTTCTCTGGTTGACTTATTTCGCTTAGCGTAAGACACTCTAGCTCCATCCACGTCGTTCCAAATGGCAAGATGTCATTCTTTTTGATGGCTGAGTAATATTCCATTGTGTATATCTATCATCTCTTCTTTATCCATTCATCTGTCGATGGACATCTGGGCTCTTTCCATAATTTGGCTTTTGTGGACATCGCTGCTATAAACACTGGGGTGCAGGTGCCCCTCTGAATCACTATGTTTATACCCTTCGGGGTAAATACCCAGTAGTGCAATTGCTGGGTCATAGGATAACTCTTTTTAACTTTTTGTGGAACCTCCATACAGTGTTCCAGAGTGGCTGCACCAGGTTGCATTCCCACCAATTAATTTTTGCCATTCTGACTGGCGTGACGTGGTATTTCATTGTGGTTTTGATAGGTACTTCCCTGATGCCAAGTGATGTGGAGCGTTTTTTCACGTGTCTGTTGGCCATTTGTGGCTTCTTTGGAGAAATGTCTGCTCATGTCTTCTGCCCATTTCTTGACTGGATTGTTTTTTGGTTCTTGAGTTTGATAAGTTCTTTATAGATTTTGGATACTAGCCCTTTATCTAATAAGAGGGAGAAACTCAATTTTTAAGACAATCCAAAATATTTATACATTTTTAGTGGCAAGGGTTTACTTGGGATTCGGCTATCTCAGTGTGTCAGCGTTATTTTCAGTAACTCACGGGTGTGCTATCCTTTCCTATGCTGAAACTGCACTCAAGTTTATCAACATTAATGTTTATGTTACACAGAATTTCCACAATTGGGCTGCTGCACTCTAGCGTCTTTACTTCCAGAACCATGTCAGCTCTCCCACCTTGAGAAAATAGCATCGATTATCAAGCTCGCCACGTCTCGTCACATAAAAACCACACTAATTTTCTTTACCTTTTATGTACATCTTCATCAACTGTATATGGCAGTACTAATCCTTCTTCGTCTAATTTAATTTCAACATCTGGTGAGAGAAGAAAGGAAACATTCTCCGTGTGGTGCCCTCACAAACACTACGCGCCTGTTCTCCTTCTGCTTTGAATTCGTCCACACCGCAACGCACCCGGCTGTGCTGAAGGCTGCGAAGTAATGACCACACCAGACCACGGTGAGAATTTCACTTTAACCAGCTCTATGATCAACCATATCAGCCTTAAATTAAGGAGGCTCAACCACCCGAAAACCAGGAGTGGGTCCTCGAGGTATCGGGCGTGACAAGAACCTTGCCTGCTTCTTCCTTCTCCTTGTAGTAAGTGGTGGGCACCCTTCGACCCAGAGTGAAGAAAATCCTTTAAGCAAAGCACAGGTATAACCTCTGCAAGTCAAAACTTTCATCGCTGGGGCTCCCAGGGCCGCCAAGGTAGGCAATGTCTCCTGCACCCCGACGGGTGGTTGCGGGGCACAGCAGACCCCACTGCCTTCCTCTGATGGCCTGCCATTCCTTTTGTAAAAAGAGCACGTAAGGGGGAGGTGAGCTATGACCACCTGAAGCCAATAAGACACTGTCACCTTCGAGCTGATTTTCTTTTACTCATTAATTTTAAAAAACCACGAAGGGCATAAGGACTTGAACTCTCCGGCCAGCCCCGTGCAACAGAACTTTCTGCTGCGAAGCACGTGTTTTCACCTTTGCTGTCCACTACGGCATCTGCCCGCCCCTGGGAGTCTGAGCGCTTGACGTGTGGCTCCAAGGAACTGAACTTTGGATGGGTTTTAAATCTGAGCTAATGGAAATTTAAGTAGCCACAGGGACTCCTGGCTGCTGTGTGGGCCAGCGCTGCCCTAGAGGACAACAACAATGAGCAACGGCACAGCTCCCATAATTCCTGGTATCACTCTACACTCGCACCTGGTCCTTACGTTAAGTCTGGGTCGCTATGCTTCCTACTCTCATTTTACAGAAAAGAAGCAAGCAGAGAAAGGTTACTCTGCCCAAAGACATTCTGCTACCACGTGGGACTCCCCTTGACCGTCCGGACTCCACAGCCCTACCACTCACCCACTGTTCCAATCTGCGTTCAGGGAAGGGCCACCTCTGCTTTACATTTCCAGGCCTTCCACTGGCTACTAAATCCCACAGATTCCCAAAGAGGACAGCATGCCGAAGCTGGTAAGCAACAGCAAAACTCCCTACTACTCACCTAGTGTGTAACAATAGGGCGTTAACACTTTGGAAGCAAAATACAATCTTGCTCCCAAAAGGTCAATCAGTCCAATCTTCACAGATTTGTAAAGGTGAAAATCCACAGGCGTCTCCAGGGAAGAGCACGGAGTAAGAAATGACCTCACTTGATACTTAGGAAGAAGTTTCTGACCCTAAAAATTGGATGTTTAAACTTGAGAAAGGAAGATATGATACAAAACAAGAAAATAAATCCAATGGTTCAATATACCTTTTAAATGTGTTTTAAAAGTAGTCAGAGGTCACAGAAAGGGAGGGACGGAATAACCATGCTATTACAGCCCAAGAAACATCTCTGGAACTCTCAGAATCGCTTTAAGGGCCTTGAGGACACTCACGTTTTTAATAGAGGACAATATGAAAAAGGTGACATTTCAATTCAGGGACAAAAGGATAGCTATATAGTAAATACTGCAACTGGTAATCTACCTGGGAAAGAATGAAGTGAAAATTCTAGCATGCGCCGTGGACCATCATAAATTCCAGGTGAGTTACAGAGCTAAATACAGGAAGGGAAATGATATTTTTAAAAATTTAGAACAATATTTATATTACCTTAGGACAGGTGAAATATTCTGAAGTGAGAGAAGAAACCATAAAAGATGGATAGATTTCATTACAGAAAACTTAAAAAAAATTTTTTTTAAAGATTTTATTTATTTGTTTGAGAGAGAGAGAGAGAGAGAGAATGAGAGATAGAGAGCACATGAGAGGGAGGAGGGTCAGAGGAAGAAGCAGACTCCCCGCCGAGCAGGGAGCCCGATGCGGGACTCGGTCCCGGAACTCCGGGATCATGACCTGAGCCGAAGGCAGTCGCCCAACCAACTGAGCCACCCAGGCGCCCAAAACTTAAAAACTTTTATAGAACACAGATACCATAAACAATATTAAATTAAAACAAACAAAAAAGTAAAAACTACAGGGGCACCTGGGTGGCTCAGTCAGTTAAGTGTCCGACTCTTGATTTCAGCTCAGGTCATGACCTCGGGGTCCTGAGATTGAACCCCGCCTCAGGCTCTGAGTTCAGGGCAGCTGTCTGCTTAAGTTTATCTCTCTCCCTGCACTCTCCTCCCTCCCCCATGCACATGTGCATATGCTCTCTCTCTTAAAAAAAGAAAAAAAAAATTTCAGAACTACAAACCAGGAGGAAATATCTACAACATACACAGATACACAGGAGATAACAGCTCCATCTTATGTGTTCTAGGATGAGACCCAAAAAAAAAAGACAACCCAATAGGAACCTGAGTCAAGAGGTCACTAGAGGATTCACAGCAAATGTAAATGACCGATAAGCACCGTGAAAATATGTTCAACTCACTATTGCTCATTAAAATGCAATTTAAACATGTGACACAGTAGTCTTTCTCATGGAGTCGAATGACAACTAAAGGACTAATAACACACAGCGACAGAAGAGGCAGGGCCACGGTGGAGGAAGGGACATCTGCAACCATTAGGGGCGGCAAATCTGTGGGTAATGCAATCACCTCACTTTCAGGAATCTAGTCTCCAGATCAAAAAACAAAAAGGCTCCAATAGGGAAGGACATGTAGAGATGTTTATTACAGCCCGCTGATGGAGAGAAATGCTGGAGAAAACCTGGAAGTCCAACAATGATGCAACAGAATAAATATCTGGAAATAGCATGCCATCCTTAAAAAGAATGCACTTAATCTCTGTGTATTGCCCCCAAGGAGCATCTGCCATATACTGGATATATACAAGCACACTGTCCTTGCAGTAGCCCCATTCCAAGGCAAAATAGCGTTCGCGAATTTGTGCGCATCTCAACATAGAAACTGTCGTCAACACTGCTCCTTCAGGGATGGAAGGAGGTTCGACGCAAGTACCATTGATCTCTATGTGCCTTAGCACTGTTTACACTGCTTTAAGGAAAGTAGTGGGGGGCACGTGGGTGGCTCAGTCTGTTAAGCCTCTGCCTTCGGCTCAGGTCACGATCCCGGGGTCCTGGGATCGAGCCCCGCATCGGGCTCCCTGCTCTTCGAGGAGCCTGCTTCTCCCTCTCCCTCTCCTGCTCCCCCCGCTTGTGCTCTCCCTCCCTCTCTCTGTCAAATACATAAATAAATAAAATCTTTAAAAAAAAAGAAGAAGAAAACAGTGGTATCCTCATTCTTAGACCTTACTCTGAAATGAGCTACTCTTAAAGGGGACTCCGTCTAGCCCGGAGGACCAGGCAGGGATGAGCAAGTCTGGAGATGCCATCTGTGACCCAACACAAGGGGCCTGATTAAGTTAGGAGAATGAATCTCTAGAGTACTAGATGGGAAGCACAAACTGCACCTACACTGAACCCTATCAGAGAAGAGGGAAATGTCTGGCTTGGCTTAAAAATGTACTTGAAATCATTTCGGATTTGCTCAGTCCAGAGATTCACACTTTTGTATCTAACAGCTATGGGGAGTGCTAAAGCCCTTCACAGCCAGCAGAGTGAATCTAAGGTCGCTCTGACTGGAGGACAAATTTTCCAAGACACCTTGCGGCAGGAAACGGGTCCTTTAAAGACAATAGGAATGAGGCCAATTCAATATCAAAAGAAAAGACTACCTGGTGGCAAGTAACTCCAAGTGAATGAAAGTTCTGCTTTCTGATGCCGTTACTGAGACAGATCAAAAGAGGAGAAACTTAAAAGATTGGGAGAGGGAAGACAAAAGAAAGCTGCCCCCACAGGGAAATAAGGCAGCCCGGCTCTCGCTCTTACCTTATAGAAAGGGCATTCTAGGACTGAGGTTAAGAACAGTTGGGTCAGCTGTGCAAGGCTCAGTCTGTCCAAATACAATTCTTCACCTGAAATAAAAAGCATTCCGGTTGTAGTTAAGTTTGGATTTGGGTATGTGTGACAAAAGAAGGGTACATCCAGGAATGCACAACACACACTGATCACTCCGGAAGTAATGTACTTTTAAATGACTCGGGGAAAAGAACATGTCAGAGTTAAATTATGCCCTCTTGCTTGCCATCAATACAATCTCATTTTAACTTCCAAGGAACTCAAGCTCTAAACTACAGAATATAATTCAAAGTACCAGGTATATCAAAATCATTGAGAATTTCCTTTAACTGTGGAGACATGGACACCTGACATATCTGGGTGGCCATCAATTGAGACGACCAATGCCATCCTTTCAAAGCCGAGAAGTTGCCAGTTGCGTTCACGGCTTCTGACATGTTGTGACTATGACCAGGGCCACGTCACATCCCACAAGACTCAGGCTGGCGGTCTGTTGACCAGAAACTGTTTGCTTTGTGCAGTGTTCCATCATCCTGGAACTCTGTGTATCCACTAGCACCTGACACTCATCTTTAGGTTATTATGGAAGAGAAAACAGAGGTGACGCGTTGCTCAGTGTACAGGTAGATACACAACTTGAAAAGAGTACACGTTCAATTTCCCCACTCTCAGAAGTTATAACCAACTCACCTTGCAGCTTTTGAAGAAAATAAGGGCTGAATATTTTTGCCATGAAGTTGACCGGATGGCATTCAATTAGTGAACACGAATGGAGAATTTTCAGTAGTGTTTTGGGTGGAAAATAATTGAAATGAGTGAGCAACGTGTTTTCTAGCTTTCTAAATAAAGCAGAGGCATTTGGGGGCAAATAATTGAGTTTTCCAAACGGTTCGATTAACTCAGAAATCTGATGAGGCAAAAATTTTTCTGATTGGCAAACAAAGGTTTCTGCCACCGCATCGAGGATGGGTTTTGAAAGAATCCGTTTCCTACTGCAGTACTCCATGACCTTGCTGACAACCTCAGGATCCAAAGTGAGACACACTGAAGCTACATGTTGCTCTAGGGCTTTTGTAAAAAATCTGTCATTGTGCCCAAAGTATGTGAAAGCCTCTAAGACTTTTCTGAGCTCTTCATTAGTAAAATGAGGGATATGCCTCACAGCGTATTTTCCCAATTTTATAACCAGAGGAAGCGCCTGAGTTTGATCAAGAACTGCTAGGGCACTGAGCATTTGGCTCATCAATGTAGGACTCAAGTTGTAAACTACTGACAGAGAGAAGTTGTTTAACTTATTTAGAAATGCTTGGTGTTGGTCCACTTTTTCACTACAAGCCTGCAGTATCCTATAAAGGGCCACAATATCCTCAGGAGTAAATTCTTCCAATTTTTCACTTTTCAGCTGACATATAATCAGTTCTAGCATCGCACAGCCTGGACCTTGCAGTTTCATCAGACTTTCCCCAAGAATACAAAGACTGTGAACTTCCAGGCCACCCCGTTTGAGACGACGCTGGCATTCGGCCACCAGGTTCAGTAACAAGCTACTGTGGGGATCCACGTGCAACAGAGTCAGGGCTTGCAAAGCAGTCACCAAAACGGTGTCTGGCAGACCCGAGGATGCCTGTTCACACTGAATGCATAAGGCCTGAAAGACACTATTCTTTAGTATTTCTTTTGGCAGCTTTTGATTACCTTCTTTTTTTTCCACTTCACAAATCCGCTGTAAGGCTCCTGCTGCTAGAGTATCAGGCAAAGTTTGCAGTGTGCTTAGAAAACTTAACACTTCTTCTGATGAGGTGAAGTTGTTTAGTCTCCTGTAAAACATCTGTTCATCCACACTTTTAAGATTTTGTTCAGGCCTATCCCAATCATGTGCTTGAGAGAGCACCGGCTCACCAACTGGATTAAGGTCATTTCCATGTTCTGAATGGAACTTTTTACAACAGCCATGATGGAATCTGACCCTGAAAGGCTCAGACTGTGGTGAACAGAACCACGGACACAGACGCTCCTCGGAAACCTTGTGAACATAATTTACAGGATGATTTTTCAAAGCAGCCAGAGCTCCGTGGATCCGAAAATCAGACAAATGGCAAAGGTTCCTCCGCAAGGTAATTAAAGCCATGCCATCAGAATCTCAACTCTTCTCGATTTATGACTAGAGGAAATAAAAAACATGGTCAAATACATACAGAGCATAACTCAACAACATGAATGCTTATGAAACTGAGGAGGAGTACTTGTGACAAACGATTCACGAAAACCTCCCACTTAAACACAAGTACCCAAACATCAATCTCTGCATCCCACAGCTTAGAAAAGTGGCAGCTAAGAATAATACTCGCTATTATTCGCCATGTACCCCCATGCTTTACCGGTAGAGCTTAACCCCCACAACACAAGGAATTAAGTACTTCTAATCATTTTACAGATGAGAAAACTGAGCCCAAAGAGGCATTTTGTCCGGTCTGCACTGCTCGTCCGTGGCAGAGCTGGGATTCACACTCACGCGGTCTACACCCTAAACACGCCTCCTCTATGTTGGCTGATAGAAAGCACTGCGTCAGGTTAAATATACCCAAAAGGAGCAACGGGTAAAAGGGCCAAAATTCGTATAGGTCAACGCAAAGCAAGGGTCGAAACAGGTATAAAAGGCCTGAGGTGTTTTCCTCTCGAAGAAAAGATCTGGCCGGGGCTGAGGAAGAAAGGGGTCTCGTTTGGCCAAGGGGGAAAAAGGCAGATTTAAAAGAAGTAAAACGATGCAGGGCACTACGGGAGGAAGGTGGAAGTTCCGTGGAGACCTAAACGCTCTGCCTGGTCTCGGGAACACGAACGTGCCGTCCAGGGAGGGACGGGGCGCCCCAGGAACCGCGTCCTCCCAGGAATAAAAGGACCCCACGCTCCGGGTGCCTCCAAACCCGGCGACCCGGGAACCTGAGCTCAAGCACGGGGCGTGCAGGAGCGCCGGCCAGAGAGAAGCGGGCGGGCTATGGCAGCACGGACACCTCGGCAACGCCACGGGCTCACGTGTGTGCCGGGCCGGGACACCTACCGCGCTCAGACCGCCGGAGCTCCGAGCAGCGCCGAGCCCCCGGAACCTCGCGGGCCTCCGTACGCGCGCTCCATGGCCGGCCCCCGCCCCCCCCCCCAGCAGCCCGGCGCATGCGCAAGGAGAAGGCCACGCCCGCGCCCGAAGCGCTGTGATTGGCCCAGTTCCTTCCTGAGCTCCTTATTGGTCTTGGGCGCTGGAGAGGCGCGCGCCGTGACAGAGTGCGCAGGCGCGGGAGCAGAGCTCGCCGTCCTACGCCGTCCTAGACTGTCTCCGGCCTTCGCCCTCAGGTGAGACCCGGTGGCCGCTGTTCCCCGGGCGGGTTGCCCGCCCACCTCGAGCCCGCGGGGAGGCGGTACAGGGTGGGGGAAGGCACCGGCCTCCGCGCCCGCACGTTCCTCTCGCGGCCGGGCTGGGTGCTCGCGGGTCGGTCAGGAGCCCGGCCCGCTGGGCGGAGGGTTGGGCCGGCTGCGCCAGAGGCTGGCCCCAGGGGCTTCCCGTCGCCCCCCCGGGAGCGGGTCCGTCCGCGCGGCGGCGTTGACACGAATGGCGCTGGCCCCGCAGGTCGCTGTGGGCCCCTCCGTGGGCGTGTCCGTCCAGAACACTTCCCTAGATTGGGGGGCGACGGGACCCGCGGGGGCGTCGGGAAGGGGTGAGGCCCCGGGCGGCACGCGGGGTGCTGCTCCCCCCTTCTCCGCCTGCCGGTGCTCTGCGGGTGCCGGGGATCCGCCTCTGAGAACCGGGGTCACAGACCTGTGTGAGGTGGTGGTGGGTCTGAGGGCTTCCTCCTTTTCGAGAGCGCCCGGGGCTGTGCCTGGCGCCCAGGAAGAGCTCGAGGTCCTTAGCTAGAGTGATGGTAAGCGGTGACATTTCCATCAGTGCATTTCCGCAGTTCTCGCTGAGTCCAAAATGTGTGTTGTCTTCATAGCGTTCATTTAGCTGACTTATTGAGCACCTGCTCTGTGCCAGGCGCTGTTCTGTTCCCTAAGGACATTCCATGATTTTAATGTTTTCTAACACAATTCTTTTAATTTCTTTGTGGCTTAATTTATCCCTAGATGTACCTGATCAATGGAGCATAAAACTACTGATGGTTCATTCCCCAAAAGCCGGGATTTGATACGGATTTATTGAAATCAGCTCCTACAAGTTGACAGTCCCCCAGTTCTATTATTTTTTTTTTTAAGTTTTACTTAAGGAATCTTACACCCAACGTGGGTGCTGGCAGTTCATCACCCCGAGATCAAGGGTCTCAACGTTCTTCTGACTGAGCCAGCCGGCGCCCGACAGTGCCCCAGCTTTAGATCCTGGATGAGTATGGAAAAAAAAGTCTATCTAGACCACCTCCCCACGGGCTCGAGTCCCGTATTTTACTCCTGGTTTTCTCTTCAGGAAAAACAGTTGAAGCTTGAGTGGCCTGGAAATATTTCCTCTCCCTATACATGTATACCCATGCACTCACCTATGTATCTGATACTGAATTAAACAATAGAGCAGAGTATGTAGCTTGATTAACTTCACTACTGTGATTAGCTTATTTGGTATTAGGATCACGTAGGAACAAAATCCTATACTTCCAACGGAATTTTTACACTTTTTTTATTTTTAAGATTTTATTCATTCATTTGAGAGCAAGAGCATGCATAAGAGCAGAGGGAGAGGGAGAAGCAGACTCTCCGCTGTGCAGGGAGACCGACTCAGGGTTCGATCCCAGGACTCGGAGATCGTGACCTGAGCTGAAGGCAGATGCTTAACCGACTGAGCCACCCAGGCGCCCCATTACATTTTTTTAAAATAAAAATACCAGATTTTTGGAGTACTGCTGTGTCTCAGCTATGGTTCAGGTCTTTGCAGCTCACACATCTTTGTCAGGTGGGTACTATTATCCCCATTTTAAGGGTGAGGGAGCCGGGGCACAGATTGGTTGAAAAGTTTGCCTGAAGTTCTGCCGTTGTGAGTGATGGATGCTGGATTCAAGCGCAGGTAGTCTGACCCCAGCCTCGGATTTCTGAGCCACGGACTTAGAGCTTTACTCCTGTATTCTCCCTGGTTTGATGAATTCTCTTTTTTAGACTGAGAATTACACTAACATATTTATAGAGAAATCTATTAAACGTTATGTGTGGATATTGTTGGAGTCTTTTAGAAAAGATTGTGAGGGAGAATTAATACCTGTGGTGTACTCCTCAATTAAAAAAAAAAATCCCTTTTTCTCTCTTCTCTTTTACAGTGTGTTAAAGCTGTAGCATATGCCGTGAGGTTATGAGGAGGTTTCTGTTACTCTATGCGACACAGAAAGGACAGGCAAAGGCCATAGCAGAAGAAATATGTGAAAAAGCATTTGCACATGGATTTTCTGCAGATCTTCACTGTATTAGTGAGTCAGATAAGGTAAATGGTTACTCATGGTTTTTACTGTTTTATGCTTGAAGTATTTTGGTTGGGAGGCGATGTTAAACAGTGAAGTAGGCTGCTAAATGCCTTCATACGCTTTCTTTTTTTCAACTGTCAAATTTACTTTATCAACTGTATTGTAAGATTTGTCATTTTTTTTAACAAATCAAGTGTACATTTAAATTAGACCAAACAGTCTCAAAAACCCGAAACAAGTAATTACTCCTCAACCATAAGGGGAAGTAGTAGTGTTTGCCTTGTTTATCTCTCAGGGCAGCTGTGAGAATGAAAGAGATGTGTGTTTGCCTGCACACATGTGTTTTCCAGCTCACAAATCCCAGTGCCCTGTTTGTATTTCCCCAAAATAAAGACCTTGCCATTCATGTCAGAGTTCCTTCAAGTGAAGGACCATGTAGTTCTTTTGTGGAATAGAATTTAAAGCAGAAGTGTAAGGATCTAGAGAAGATTGAGCTTCTTTACGTCAGGGACTGCTTATTTTTATTCTCAGTCTCTGCAGAAATTCCTACCTTAGGTCACGTAAGATTGTAATATCGGTATTCTTCTTTCAGTTAGTCTGATTGAGTTCTCCAGATTTTACTGTCTTAGATAATGCAGTCCATAGCAACTAGCAGGAGCTTTTGTATAAGCCCAAGTTGACGTGCCAGCCACTAACAAGTCAAACTTAGTTCAGTACTTTAAAAATTACCCTGCTCGTACACTGACTCAAGTTCATAACCTCCTCTGGCCTTTCCCACATCTCTAGTTCAAAAGACTAGACTGTCAGCAGCATAAGTGAATTATAAACTCAGCTCATAGGAGAACCTTCATGTTCCTTTATGCGTCAGGGTCAGGGTGACTCCAGATGTAGCCACTCACCCAACAGGGAGCATCCTGGAGGACACCACCAGTCAGCAGGTTCTGTAATCCTACAATAACTTCAGTGTTGGCGTTGAGGATGCCACATGCTAGAATATAATCTGAATCTGTTATTACAAACAAAAAGTTGTCAGCACCATATAACCAGCCCTGATTTGGCCCCTTGGGGTCACCTCACCACCTAGGCCAGCAGCTGTTTGAACATTAGGTGAATAGTACATGTTCTTTTTTTTAGTGCCATGTTAGTAGTCCTGTTTGCTCTCCCCAGCTGATTGATTTCTCCAATTCTTGATCCAAGTTTAAACAGATAGCTGTCCACTTCCTAGGTCATGATAGTCCTTGTCGAGGTGAAGTTACTTTAACTGTAAAAGTTCAATACACAGCTTGTGCTGTCCCCTGTAAGCATCAAATCACCAGGTAATCTGTTAGCTCAGATCCTTGTATCAGCATGAAAAATAAGTGAATCCCTCAGAGTCAGATTCGATGATACACATGAGCAGTAGAGCTCATGGAATCAATAGAAATAGGGTGAGTGCTCTCTTTGGAATATTTCAATTTAGGTGAGAATTCGACTGAAGAAACTTTATCTGTGAGACACCAAATGCCGATGATCTCCATTTACCCCCTCAGTATTCCCAGCTCCCTGGACCCAGAGGAAGTGAGGAGTGACACTTGCACTTTCCCAGCTTGGAAACACTCCACACCCTCTGTGCTGTGAAGCCACATGAAGCACGGATGACTGGTTCTGGGTAGAGACCTAGCTGGTTGCCTTGCTGATGTGTTAAATCAAAACTGTGTACAGCTGGAGATCCCTGACATGCTGTCCTCATTTTGTAGTATGATCTGAAAACCGAAACCGCGCCTCTTGTCGTGGTGGTTTCCACCACTGGCACTGGAGACCCACCTGACACTGCGCGCAAGTTCGTGAAAGCAATACAGGACAAGGCTCTGCCGGGAGATTTCTTTGCTCACTTGCACTATGGATTACTGGGTATGGACTCTGCGTTCTGCCTGCCCTCAGTTATTCCTGGTTTTAATTCTGGTATCTGAATGTATCCTTCAAAACCATGGTATATGGTTGTATGGATTTTGTTCTTGGTTTTCTATTTACAGTTATGTGTTTTATACATTTCTATAATGTTCTGTGTTCTGTGAATGCCTCCTCTGTCTTCATCCCATAGCGGCTCCTCTGTGGAGCCCCTGGAGTAGCATTCTTAACCATGGGTGCATATCAGATTCAACTAGGAAACCTTTTAAGAATATCAACGGCTAGTCCACCCCCACCCCCCACCCCTGCCCAAACTTGGTTTAAAAAAAAAAAAAAGAAAGAAAAACCCTGAAGGAGCAACTCTGAATTCTATTTTATTGGGTTTTTTGTTTCTGTTGGTTTTAAGAGGAAAAAAGAAAAATCCAGAAGCTCCCAGGTAGATCTGATCTCCCTGAGAACCACTGCCCTAGGATGATTGCCAATCCCAGCCATATGTTAGGATCAGCTGGGGGAGGTTTTCCTTGAATTCTGTTACCTGGTCCCACCTCCAGTAATTCTTACTTAATTGTTTGGAGGTGGAGCCCTGGCATCAGTGGTTTTAAAAACTCCTAGGTGATTCTAATATGCATTCCAGGTTAGGAAACACTGGCCTAGGGCTCTGTGAAGTATAGATTAAAAAACTAAGATAAAGTATCAGAATTACCAGCTCAGTAAGATAGAACACCAGAGAGAGAATTCAGAGCCCGTATTCCTGGCTTGTGGTCTGTGTTCTTTGAATCCTCTTTGAGAATTGTTTTGGGGGAGGGTATCTGATAAAGATGGATTATGCTATGATAAATAACTGATTAGAAATTTGAGGTTATGACCCTGGCTAAGATCTGTCTTGTATAACTTATTTTAGAATATTTACATTTTTTATTCAGGTTTTTTCTAGTTTCTTTATTTTCAAGAATGAACGTGTATGTGTTGCTTTAAAAAATTCCTCAAAAGGGTGCCTGGGTGGCTTAGTTGGTTAAGCAACTGCCTTCGGCTCAGGTCATGATCCTGGAGTCCTGGGATCGAGTCCCGCATCGGGCTCCCTGCTCGGCAGGGAGTCTGCTTCTCCCTCTGACCCTCCGCCCTCTCATGTGCTCTCTCTCTTTCATTCTTTCTCTCAAATAAATAAAAAAATCTTTAAAAAAAAAAAATTCCTCAAAAAAAGTATCCAAGCATTCTAGTCACTTCTAGGCCATTTATGGACCCCCCTCAACAATATCTCACCCTGTTCTTTTTGTTGTGAAAGTACATGGAGATGATTAAACAACTGAGAAATTGATGCTTTTAATCTTAAATTTTTTACCACATTTGAAAATGTTAGTCCATTTTCTTACTAGGAAACATAGCAGTTCTAATTCATCTAACACAAAAATATAGGGAATGATTATGTTGCAGATGTACCTGTCTATACTCTCAATTAGGGGTCAGTAAAATCAATAAAGGGCCAGATGATAAATATTTTAGGCTTTGCAGACCATGTGTTCTTTATAACAACTACTTAACTCTGCTGTTGCAGCTGGAGAGCTGCCATAAACAGTGGGTGAACAAGTGGACTTGGCTGTGGTCCAGCACAACTTTATAGAGAGACTGGTGTTTGGCCCACAGGCTGTAGTTTGCAGAACTCTGCACTAGATCAGAAAAGTCTGCAAATACAGATACTATGGTTTTTTTTAAACCTAATTTTTCTTTTAAGATTCCTGTATTTTTACATAGATTCATGGAAACAAAAATGTGAAAATATTCCTGTTAACAGTGGCCAAGAAGTGTTTGTTTCTGTTTTGATGGGTCTGGTACTTTAATATTGTAAAATAGAAGGCAAATATTTGCATACTTAGTATCACTCAAGGAAAGCCTCAGAGGGTATGAAGGTGTGCGTTATTAATCAGAGCATGGAATGGTATTGTTTTAAATATTTTTCTCTCTTCTTTAAATTTAAACCTTACTGTGTGTGCACTCATAACCTGTTTGGGCTCCTTAGGGCTCGGTGATTCAGAATACACATACTTCTGTAATGGTGGGAAGATCATTGATAAGCGACTTCAGGAGCTTGGTGCCCAGCATTTCTATGACACCGGACATGCGGATGACTGTGTGGGGTAAGAGCAGCGTGCTTCTCCGCCATTTCCTGTCAGCCCTTCTGTGTACTGGATGCAAGTTTGTGAGTTTATAAAATGTGATGATTTTTGATTTAGCACTGAAGCTTTTATTTTGAGAGTGTTATTTTTCTTTTGTTAGCTTTTTTTCTAGGACCAAAGATCAGCCAGGGCTTGATTTATATATTCTGTTGACTTTTTTAAGTGCCTCGTGCATCTCGGTACCTGCTAATGGAAGAAATTTGAAAAGATGCCCCAGGAAAGTTATTTTTGTCTTGAAGTGTGTAGGCATTTTCTTCAGGAACTTTGATAGCCTGCGTGTTTGCTTCTCTGCCGTGCACACACAGTGACTGGTTGCGGGCCCTCACATGGAGGGTGCCCAGCAGAGAACACAGACCAGAGGCGTTCACAGCATGCTGTGTGCCTTGGCTCTCTCCTTACCATCCTAATGGCCGCTTGCCACCATGCCAGCCAGAAGAATAATTCCTGTTTCCATTAGTTTACTCTTATTTTTACGGTTCGGTATTTCACCCTATGTGCCACCTTTCAGATCCTCTTTATGTCTTTATTCAAAGATCTTATAGATGTTGTCCTACAACTAAGTTTATCATTTAGCTTTTGGCTATTTCAGCAGATGACAGCACAGCCACTTGATTTTTTCCTACTTGGAGTATGTATTAACTTCTTACTCACTTGATCTTTGTTTATGAATGACAAATTCAGCAAATGTCTTTTCTGCATAGCACCACCTTGCACAGGTGTGCTGGAGACACTTCTCTTTCCACGTAGCCCACCCTCCACTTCATCATTTTCTGTGGTGGCGATGAGCTGGATTTTTTCCACATCCCCAGTGCATATGTTCTTGATTGTGACAAAGCTCTACCATATTGCCTTGCATGTTCACCTTTTAGTTTTGTCTCTTTATATTGATTTTTTTGTGTGTGTGGGTTTTGTTGTTTTTTGCTAGAGTCCTTTTGCCATTAAGTGTTTATTGTCTCATGAGCCATTTACTTGCTGACTTCTTCCAGAACCCATTGGGCCTATCACTGAGTCCATATTTTCTTTCTCTTCAGAGGCTTTCAGTTTCCCTGTTCATTTACTGGTTCCAGTGTTAAAATTCTTGAATGTGTATTTCATCAACCTGCATCTCTTGAATTTTCAACCTAACCACCTCCCTTGAATTTTTCCTCTTCTAAAATTATTTTCAAGGATATATCCTGGCTTAGTGTAGCAGCCCCCACATTGATGGGGTTAAGAATGCAGAGTGCAGTCCAGTTACCTGCATGCAGATCCTTGCTAACCACTGCCCACCCTTCACGGACTGAAATCTTGGTCACGTTACTTATGTTTTGTGTCTTTGTGGGCTTCACTTTCTCCCTCTGTGAAATAGGGGATAATAGTGTGTGCTGTGGAGATTTTTTTTGGGAGGAACAGATGAATTGATACAGGTTGTCCTCTTAGAATAATGTCTGCCCTGTAGTAAGTACTCCGTGGACATTAGCTCTCTCTTTTTTTTTTTTTATTTGACAGAGAGACAGAGAGGGAACACAAGCAGGGGGAGCAGGAGAGGGAGAAGGAGGCTTCCCACTGAGTGGAGAGCCTGATGTGGGGCTTGATCCCAGGACTCTGGGATCATGACCTGAGCCGAAGGCAGATGCTTAACGACTGAGCCACCCAGGTGCCCCGAAATTAGCTCTTCTCTTGGGGGTATTATTGTCTTAATATTTCGGAGCTGTGAAAATGGTGTTTTAAACATAGCTGTCATTGTTGAACCCAGAATTTTATGTACTTGCTTTTCCAAAGGCTCTGAGGGGTGGACGTGTGTTCTAATGAGATTATAGCTAGAATCGTAAGACGGAGGTCTGAAATGTGCCTCCTCCTGTCATTTAACTTTATGAATTAGAATTTAATTGATATGTCCTTTGAGTTGTGATTAAAAATGAGAAGGATGTGATTTCCAAGATTCTGATGCACGGTTTCTTACCTGTTCAGTTTACTTCAAGTTTCTCTGTGGGAATGTAGGGGATGTTGTTGTTGGCTTGCCCTACTTTATTAGTAAATACGCTACCACGTTCTAAAAGGCACCTATGATTCATTCAACTTTCCTAAAGGAAAATTAGGGTTTTTTTTTCTCTTATGTTCAGACTTACTGAAAATTTCACCAGAAATGTTCAGAACCAGTTGAAGGTTTGAACTGTTTACTTAGAATACCTAGTATTAATCCAGAGTGATTTTTTTGGTGATCTTTTAATCTATGGGGGAAAAAAAAATCACTAAATTAGGGGGGGAAATGATGGTGCATTTGACACATGTAATTATCATGTGATATTAGAGTAGACTTGGATTTGGGATAAGTTCTGTTAACCTCATCAGAGTTTCGCATGCTCACTTAAAATGACAACTTCTTAAAATATTGCCAACTATATTTTATGAAGTTAAGAGCAATCTCATTCCTGTTACCTATTACTTTTAAAATGCCTTCATTTCTGTTCTGACCTTTATATGTGCTCAGTTTTTTTACAGCTGAAGTTCTAATGAGCACACAATAATGTTTTTAACTTAACGATAAGTATATTTTGTATTCTGAATAGTCATTGTATTTAGTGTTTTTGACATTTGCATAGCATTCTGTCAGGTAGACTGCCATTGCCCCGTTATTATATATTTAAATGGAGAACTTAGGGATTTATTTTTTCCTTTTTTATTACCACAATCTAGTTTAGAACTTGTGGTTGAGCCATGGATTGATGGACTCTGGGCTGCCCTCACGAAGCATTTTATGGCCAGTAGAGGAAAAGAGGAGAGGAATGGGGCTCTCAAGATGGCATCTAATGCCTCTCAACGGATGGATCCTGTGAAACCAGAATTATTACACATTGAATCACAAGTTGAACTTCTGAGATTAGATGATCCGGGGAGAAAGGATTCTGAAGTGCGGGAACAGAGTACAGTGAACAGAAATCAGTCAAGTGCTCCACCAGCAGAATCTGAGTCCTCACTTACCCACTCGATACCCCCACTTTCACAAGCCTCTCTGAATATTCCCGCCTTACCACCAGAATATTTGCAGGTGCATCTGCAGGAGGCTCTCGGCCAGGTAAGTGGTTTTACTTTATGTCTCAGGCTGTAGAATATTAACTTACCCAGGGTTTTGCTTTGTTGTTGTTTATTAGATTACAGTAGAGGTCAGCAAACTGGCCTCTTGGCCAGATGTGGTCCACTGCCTATCTTGGAAGTAAAGCTTTATTGGGACCCCGGCCTGCCAGTCCTTTCCCATGTGGTCTGTGGCTGCTTCTGCGCTCTAGCGGCAGGGTTCAGGGGGTACCTGGAGGCTGGCAAAGCCTGAGATGGTTACTGTTTGGTCCCTTACAGAGAAAGTTTGCCTGGGCATTGAAGAAGCACTTGTATTATATCACTTTTGCTTTGTTTCTCATTTTAGATGTGAGTCAGGTGATGGCCAGTTGTTGTGGGCACTCAGGAAATTACCTCAGCTACACTTGAAAGCACTAATTTACAGTAAAATCTATTTTCCAGCATGGACTTGTGGTGTCCTGGGATGCTCCACTTTGGGGATTATTCTCTTTCTTTCTTTCTTTCTTTTTTTTTTTTTAAGATTTTGTTTATTCATTTGAGACACAGAGCTACAGAGAGAGAGAGAGAGAGCGCATGAACAGGGGGAGAGGCAGAGGGAGAGGGAGAAGCAGGCTCCCCGCTGAGCCAGGAGCCCGATGTGGGGCTTGATCCTAGGACCCTGGGATCATGACCTGAGTCAAAGGCAGACTCTTAACCATCTGAGCCAAGCTTTGCACAGTGGCAGTATCATAGCCAATGAGGTTTATCCGAGGCGCAATTATTGCTAATTGAAAACTTAACCATCTGAGCCACCCAGGCGCCCCAGGATTATTCTTTTTCTTGGTAACATCTTCCAGACCAGTTTTTGCCTATATTGTCATTTTTTTTGCTCAAGTGTATTTTTTCTAACAGTAAAGAAGTGCCTTTAAAGTAGTACGTAAATTTTGAGCATTAAGTTGAATAACAACTCATTTCTCCTTACTACTGCCAGTATATGGCACCCTGAAACTTCTTCCAACATGCCTAGAATAAATTTCCATTGCAGCCGATCTTTCCATGGAGAGCCACGCCCTCTTTCTTTAGAGTGGCTCATTGTGGAGTTCCATGTGGGCTTTCTCCCATAAACTTCACCCTCAGTGCAGGGTCACGATTTGTTTCTTGATTTTTTATTTTAATGAAGCAGGGCTTAGACGCTTGAGAAGCAATTTAAATACAACTTTCTAGTACATTAGAACTGTTGGCCAACACCTGATAGGATAGTGGCTTATAGTGTCTTTCTAGAGCATTTAGATAAACAAATGTGTTTACACAAACAGCTGTCTCTGCCGGGTATTGTTTTCCACTTACGCTTCATTATTGTGCAGATTGTTTAGTTAGGTGAGGTAATTACAATGAGTACATTTTTGTCAGGCTTGGGACTAGACAGGAGTGCATCCAGTAAGCCTCTGGCTGGACAGTGGGTGTGGGCGCATGGGCAGGTAGAGCGCCCTGCTGCACGCCACAAGGACGGTGCATGTGGCAGAGGCCTGTGAACGTGATTTATCGGACGGGGCGCTTCAGGAGGAGGACCTGAGAACGCTTCCGGTATGGCACAGGTTAAAGAGGCTTTAGTTGCTGGTAATGTGGTGGAAAGATTTTTAAAATCTCAACTAGTTAAGTCATATTTGTGTATATTTGTTCAAGGGATACACTTAGAGGATAAGGGGTTGGAAAATGATTTTTTTTTTTTTTTGGTGGGGGCATCTTGGGATCCTCACATTAGGGACCCAAGGAGAGGAGGGGGGAGCAGCACTGGGTGGAGCAGGCAGTTGAGCTTCAGTGTCTTCCCAGCCAGTCCCGCTCCACGCAGCGTCTGTTCCACCAGTCCTGGTGTCTCGTAGCCTGTGGGGTCTCTGGATCCTGTGGGACAAGCTGCAGGGGCTCTCGTCCACACCATCACTTGGGCCTGTCACACAGCCCTTTCCTGCTCAGGGCCCCTCTCTCAACCGGCTGCCTGTTGTGTCACCTGCTGTTTGGGTTGGAGCTGTCATCCCAGGGGTGGGAGATGCTGCTCCAGATCCTGAAGGGCCTACCTTCTGTTCTTCTCTCCAGGGGAAGTGAGGTACAGGATGCATTAGCGTGTCCTTTCCTGGAGGGGGCGGCCTGGCATGCCCCAGGCTGTTGGGCTCCTGGAAATTGTACTTGGAGCACTGGGCCTTCAGTCTGCACAGGGACTGGACCTTTCCAGAGACTCACACACACTAGCCACTTGCACGTTTAGTGTGAGTAGCATGATGTCCCTGTGTAGTGGGCTGGTGTGATGTTTTGCTGGGTGTCCAGATGTTCCACATTGATTCAGACTGTTTTGTAACAGCTGGCAGGAGCATTATCACCATCTTGCGGCAAAATCGTAAATGGAAATTGTTCCAAGTGAAAGTGTGTGGTCCTCTTTAGGGATAGAACTGGAAAAGAGCACAGTGGCTCACTCTGTCCACGCGCCATGTATCTGAGGCCATATGAATCTGCTCTAGCGAAAGAAACCATCCTTCACGGAGGCTGCAGTTGGAGCTACTGCTTGTGTTCCTTGTGGTTCATTGTCAATCCCCAGGATCCGCCTGGTTGCATGCAGGGACCAGGTTGGTCAATTAGATGGAGACCATCCCTGGTCCTGTATATTTTTAGGGGTAGTATTGATACCTGCCATTCCTCAGGATGCTGTATTTTTCACTTTCTACCTGGGTGAGGGGAGGGGACAGTGTCAAATTCAGAGGCTTCCTCTTGGCCTCTCCACTATATAGCCCTTAACCACAGGCCAAGAACTGAGTGGACCCATGGAGCCAGACCTGGCCTAGGATTCCCATTTACAGCCTGGCCCTATAGGCCTCACTCTAGTATGTGCCCATGATTACACTTTGGGTTCCTGGGTAACAGCCTAACTTGGACCCTCTTGTAGCAGTTCCTGGAGTATTTGGGTATTCCCTTTGGCCCAGTATATGTTTACTCCCTGGAAGAAGGACTTTATTGAGTACAGGTTCTGTAATGTTGCTGAGTCTCCCCCACCAACCTACACCACCTGTGGGGGGCTGCTTCCAGCAGCCCCTCCAGCCTTTCTCCTGTGATAATTATGACTCACTCTAACACGCTGCAGGACTTTGCTGGCTGAGTGCTCCCACGCCCCTCTGTTCTTTGGTGGTCCAGGTTTTTCCATTGCTGTTGGCCCAGTCTGTTGGCTCTGGCCAGCAGAGCAGGCAGCCCTGACCTTCTCCGTGATGCTGGCGCCCCTCACCAGCGCTGTCCTGTCGGCCTAGGCAGTGGTGTATGCTCCGGGTGCTCAGGGACAGCATCATCGGAGGGGTTTGGGCTCTTCGTAGTTTCATCCACTCTACTCTCCACATCTCTGGGCCTTTCACTCCTGTCCTCTGATGCTGGCCGTGGAACTCTCAGCAGTTCTGTCTCATTAAGTCTGGACTTTTGCTTTCTCCTTGGCCTCATAACCATCTCTAGAGAGTGTTGCCAAGGTGTTAAAGCCAGTATTCTGGGATAGTGCTCCCAATGAGCAAAACTCCTCTCTCCAAGTTGACGTTCTAACCTTGTCAGCCCAGGACTTCAACATCCCATCTTGTACATACTTTGATGGTTTCTGCTGGTGTGTGTTGCTGTGTCCTACACTTTCTTCAGAGCATGGTCCCTCGCCTGTCTTAGCTGGTCCAGCCCATCTGAGGCCTGGTATGTTGTGACTTAACCCTTATTGGCTCAGCAGCTAGGAGAGGAGATGGGATGCAGGGGCTGGGAATGTGGACGTGACTTGCAGGGCAGAGGTCTTAATGCAAGAAGAAAATTCTCGCTCTTCATAGGAAGAAGTAGTTACTTTTGCAGGCTCAGCAGGTGCAAGGGAATCTAGGGATTCAAGATTTTCAACCCACATGTCCCTCTCTCAGCTGCCTGGAGGCCATTCTTTGCCTGTCCAAGTTAGGCCTTAGCATTCTGTCAGTGTGCATGAGATGAGCGGCTTCTTTGTGTGCTATAGAGCATGTTTTCTGGCTTTCACACTTAGTGTTTAATTGTTGATTAGTTTTTCTCAGCTTTTTGCATTTTTTTCCAGAAGTGTCAATGAAGCTTGGCAATGCCCACAATTCCACTGGCCTTATCAGTGCCATTTTCCCATAGATCTCAAGCACCAGCTCCTGTGTACTGGCTAATGCATTCCCTTTTATGGTGCACCGTCCCACTTAGCTCTTGCACTTGTCACCTTGTGCTGTCTCCCATCTGTCACCAGTGTCGTGTGCTCATTGTCAGCCAGGTCGGTGATCCAGCTCTAGACTCCCATTTTAGCATCTTTCTTGAAACCACTCTAGCACCAGCTGTCACAGACTGGGTTCCTTTGAATCAAACTATGTGATTATTTTTTAGGTTGATTTTTAGGTGATTATTTTTTATCCCCTTGGGATCCTCACTTTGGGGAATGGAGGGGACAGAAGGTGGAGTTGGGCACAGTGAGAAGTGGGCTGTGATGTGTCCCAGCAAAGGCCCCAACCAGCCTCACAGGGTTCTCCGGAGCTGGGATGGCCCTTCAACATTGTCCTGAGTTGGGGCAAAGGGGCTGGGTATTTATAGTCCTCAGTTAGCCATTGGATATGGGCTGCCTCTGAAAGGAGGCGTGACCCGGGAATGCTGAGGTCACTCTCCAAGGTGACTGTGAGCTAGCTGAGGGCCATCTGCTGACAGCGTTCCTAGCAGCCTTGCTGAAGGCTCTCTTAGGCAGGGGCATCTCCCAGTGCCCCATAGGTCCTGTCAGGCTCTGAGCTCTGATCCTTTTCCCAGTTTTTCCACATAGCCATTTGTCCAGTATTAACTGTTTAGCATTTTGAAAGTTTCTATCTTCAACAGAACTTAGAAACATCAAGTTAGAAAAGGAGCAGAAATAGTACAACGAATTGGGTTCTTTGTGGTTTCCCAAGACCTGTGCTAATACAGGAGCTGCTAGCTATGCATGGCTGCCTAAATTTAAATAAATGAAAATAAAACTAAGAATTCAGGTGCTTAGGCACATGGCTAGTGGCTCCTGGACTGACCAGCACAGGTGTGGAACATACCCACACCAGGGCCCACCACTCTGCGGGTTCTTGTGAACCTCTGTGCAGGTGTCTCCCAACCCCAAATGTGTCCTTTCCTTTAGAATCTCCATCCTGAAATTGTGCGTGCATATATGGTCTCCTTTAGCATGGTTTATTTGGAAGACTATTAGAGCTTTACAGGAACAAGCTGGTATCTGATAATTTTCACTATCTATCTCAGAAATTTGTCTAACAGTCAAGGAGTTTAAGATATGGATGAGCTATCTCTTCTAGAAGATCGAGAGGCCTATGTCTATAGCCATTTGCCTTAGAAAAGAATACTTAAATATCTAGGCTATTTTATAAAATCCTATGGATCTTACCTGGTCACTAGGTGAAGCAATGGCAAGTAAAATTGAAATTTGCATTTTGTAATATTTTATCACATTTGTTTCTCAAGGAGGAAAGCCAAGCATCTGTGACTTCAGTGGATCCAACTTTTCAAGTTCCAATTTCAAAGGCAGTTCAACTGACTACAGATGATGCCGTAAGAACCACTCTTCTGGTGGAATTGGACATTTCAGTAAGTTACAGAATTTATTTCTCAGCACTGTTATGTTGTCAAGAAGTGCGGAGACTTGCATGCTGTTGTAGTCCACACACTCAGGAAGGAGGAGAGCCTCTGACAGGACATCTGGCCTCTTTATTCTTGAACCCTCATTTTTCCTCCCCACCTCATACTCCTTATCTTTTCACTTCAGGAAGGGGCTGACACGAGGAGTCACCCTGGAGGTGACTCAACTTGAAAGAACAGCGTTGCTCCCTTACTCAGTAAGCGACGAAAGAGTAATGGAATCAGAGCAGCATTTTCCGTGGGAGAAGAGTCCTGAGCAAGGCAACTGCTCACCTGAGGTCAGCCAGTAGCTGGAAATAGAGCTCAGACCGGACAGGCCTAGAATGCTTCCTTTCTCACAGTGGTGGTCTCATTCCTTTGAGACTCTGGAATAAGTCACAGATCCTCCCCCTGCAGAAAAAGAAATATGTAAACATTTTTCATATAACTTCAGAGGCTTACATGCTGCCTCTCCCCTCCATCCACGAGCCCAACCCCTGCCCCAAATCGCTGGCCTCAGTTAAGAAGCTACCTGCTCATCCTGTAACCTCAGTGCTTGAGTTATGTCTTCAGAGTCACTCAGCTATGTATTTTGATGGAGGTTCTGGGAAGTGGGTTGTGCTTTCAGAAGAGGGTGTGTCAGGGCTGTCAGTGTAGATTTCCTTGAACCTCCTAATAGGGAAAAAAATGACAAGCATCAAAACTAGATGGTTTTGCTTATATACTGTTGAGTAGTTCCACATTCCTTTGGAACATTTAAATAATCCATACTGTTAAATATTCTTTGTCCACCAAAGCATTTTTTTTATTCTGTTCTACACTTTTGTCATAAAGTGGTGAGGGTTGGCCAGTAGGTGGGTTCAGTCTGTGCCCCTCACAGGCCAGGGCCATGAGCATGTGTGGTCAGAGGCTCTCTCCAGATACTGCTGTTGTTCTCCATCACTCTGTAAATGGCCATGCTCTTCATTCATAGTACCAAGCTAGGTGCTGCAACCTTTTGTGCTCAGTAAGGAAAACGAAAGTGTCATCTCCCACCCCTCTGCTTCCCCTAAAGAAAGGAAACTGAGAACCAATGCAGACAGCGTTGGGTAGTTTCTCTCCCTCATAATGTGTGTTTTCATAAGAGGGGTTTTTATGTTGATAAAACATTACCTACTACGGCATCTTAAATGAGAAGGGTTTTAACTAACATTGTAAAAAATACTGAAATGATTTAAAGCAACTCATTGGATAACTGAAATTTTTTTCTTTAAAGTAATTCTTGGGGCAACTGGCTGGTATGTGACTCTTGATCTTGGGATTGTGAGTTGGAGCCTCACATTGGGTGTAGAGATTACTTAAAATTAAAAAAAACAAAACAAAACAAAAAACTCGTAATGAAAGTAGATTTGTTCAGTTGGGCTTATTTTTTTGCAGTTAGAATCATTTTGTTTCTAATTCATATTTTTGAAGAATCATATAATAAAAAACATGCTTTTGTTACCCCACGACTAAAACTCTTTAACTCATGGGCTTTTCTTTTTTCTTTCATTGTTTCTTCTCTAGAAAACAGATTTTTCCTATCAGCCTGGAGATGCCTTCAATGTGATCTGTCCCAACAGTGATTCTGAGGTACAAAACCTTCTCCAAAGACTGCAACTCACGGACAGAAGAGAGCACTGTGTCCTCTTAAAAATTAAGGCAGACACACAAAAGAAAGGTACAGCCCTGATCTCTTCTTAGGGTGTCATTGGGCTAACAGATTGGAGGTGACAAGTGCAAGGACCCCACCCTGCACCCTGTGTGACGGCTGCATAGGTGGTCCCAGGTTGGCCATGGGTCAGGGGGCAGAACCCCGGCACTCTCTGACTTGTGGGTTTCTTAACTTTCACATCAGGTGCACTGAATGGGATGATGATGGATTTTATGCTTATTTGGACACTGCTGGACAGTAAAAATGAATGTAGCTGTAGTCTTGGAGAAGCCGGTAGATTAGTTGGGCTGATTTGTTAGTTTGCTTTTTGAGTTAGCATTATTTTGTTTCTGAGTTACACAAGAGTAATCCTACAATAAACGTTTATTATATGAACCTTTTTAAAGTTTTTTTGTCATGTGTATTTCTTATAGCATAGTTATTTATTTAATATATAAAAACATTTTTTCATGATTAAAGGAAGTTATTTGCTTAGAATCTTGAACTGGAGTTCCATCAGTTCTAAAATTCTTTTTGAGAATAGTATGCAGTGTTAGTGGACAAGTGCCATCTTTTGGCTTTTTATTCCTTGGCTTTGGATAATTTCCCTCTTGTTTGGTATACCTAGATTTGGTATCTTTACGAAACATACCAAAGATCTATCTTTGGTAGATTTAGGTGTGGCTAATGCTATTGAATTTATAATTCTTTTATTATTTTTTTGGTAAGGTGTCCTCTCCCCCCCCATCCCCGCATTCATTTTGGAAATTTTTTTGACTGCATAAACATTGCCACAAATCATGTTATACCTTCCTAGCACTGTAATGTAAAGTATACAGTTAATTGGTTTTTTAAGAGTGAGGAAATGTTTTATTCTTTACCTTCTGTGTCACGGACTCTTTCCTGTCTGCCTGTAAAGGAGCAGCCTTACCCCAGCATATACCTGAGGGATGTTCTCTCCAATTCATTCTGACCTGGTGCCTTGAAATACGAGCAGTTCCTAAAAAGGTACTTTTCTTTGGGTAACTATTTAAAAGTATACTTAGCTCTGTGTAGGATTTATTAAATCTGGTATTTGCCCTTTAAAGGCTTTGAAAATACGGCTTTCACACCATGTTTTCAAAATAGGTCCCAAGGGTGCATAGTATTTTTGCAGTTGTCATAGATATTTTTATGTTGTGCTTATATTGAAATTCTGTTTTCTATAGAAACAAGATTTTTAAAGTAGAGTTTTTTCTTATTTTTACTAGATATTAACTTGATGTGCTACATTAATCAGTGATTAAAGTGACCCCAGATGACCTTGTGTTACCTAGCTATACTTCACCCTTTTTGTGACTGATGACAGGAAGCTTATGAGAGTGCAGGCTTACCCCTACTTGCCACCCATTTAATGTTGAGATCTCTTCTGTGTGAAAGTACATAATTCTTTACTGTTAAGTCAGAATTCTTCAGGACAAAATGAAAGGTTCTGGGAGATTATATTGATGTTTGGATGTACGTGGACAGAATGATCCACTAGAGGTCAGGAGGATGCCAGGAGCTGTCTTTTAAAAGATGCTGTAACTGATTCCTTCTAAGCCTGTCCCTCACATGGGTATGAATGGGGGAGACTTCCCAGCTGTGCTTTGCCAAATTCGTATTGCCAGTGCGCATAATAGTGCTATTATCAGGCTGCCCTCCACAAGGCCTTTTTTATGCTCTAATTAATGTGTGTGTTGCATGCAGTCTTCGGGAAACCAACTCCTTTAGAGAGAGGCTCAGACCTAGATAATTTGAATAAATGTAGTATTCACTGTGATGAGAACTTCTTGATTAAAAGTCAGTTTCACAATTTTAGTTCACCTCTACCATTTCGTAAAGCATGTACAGGTAAACATGTTTTTCCTTACTATAAAAGTAACGCACTCATAAAAATTCTGGACACAAAATTAAGTAACCTGGGAAGCAAAAGACCTTTATAATCAAATCCTCAGGCTCCTCAACCCTTAAATTTTGTTTTGTTAAGAAAAAAAACGAGGTCCTCTGGTATATGTGCTGTTCTGTCACACGCCTTCTTTACCTAAATAGAACTTGGGAGTTTGTATACCCCAGCATGGAAAAGGTATCTTACCAGAGGTCTGTGCATAGACGTGGGGTGCTCATTGATCCCACATGGTTTCCCAAGTGCTTGTTCCATGTTCGGCCCCATGTCTGGCATTTTAAAGAAGGCATGTGATTTGTTGGTCTCTTAGGATTTTTTTAGGCAGGACTTCTGAGCTGAGCCATTGAGCACCTGTGACCCTCACAAGAGGAGTGATGTCATCCTCCCTGGTAAGGGAGTCCAGGACACAAAGGTGCTTGAGCCATGGACTAAAAAGGTCCCTGTTAGCATTTCACTTAGCATTTGATGCAGATTACGTGCTTAATTGCTTTGTTCTTAACCCTTGAGTGGTAAGAGCTATATATGTCATATTTGGAATACGTTGAAACCAAAAGTCGTTATTAGCAAGTTTGGTCTTTTGTCCAAGAGTTTGGACATGGCTCTGTCTTTGGGGCTTGGGTTTCAGGATGTTATTGCTTTGCTTTCTTCATGTATATTCTCCTCCTCTTTCTACAGTGAGTCTGAGGTGACTAAGAGCGTCCACGTGCAGGAGGCTTCTTGATGTTCTGGCCCTGCCTGTCTTTTCAGCCTTTGTCCCGTGTCCGCATTGCCCTGCATCCACACGGAACAGTGCCTGGCCCCGGGAGCGTGCTTTTGCCTGCCTCCTGTGCCTTCATGGAGCTGGGCCATCGGCTTAGCCCTCCTTCACATTTTGTTTCTCTCCTGTGGCCAGCCTTCAGCTCAGGCTTGCGTTCTGGGCACGTTCGGCTTCAGAAGCCCTGACATCCTGGGTGTGCCCTGGTTGGGGTAGTCAGGCTCTTGCATGCCATCCCTGGCCTGTGAGCCTTGCCAGCAGAGGGGCTGTCGTGCCCACCGCCTGTTGTACAAAGAGCACTTAACAGCTGTCCGAGGAGCGCAGAGGCCCAACTTGTAATCATCCGCTAAGACAAGAATAAGTATTTTGTCTTGAGTTAGAATTGATGAGTTAGGAGATTTCTGGTCATTGTTACTCAGATATATTGGACATGTAGTTTGAGATCATACTTGGGACTGCTGAGGTGGTTTAGGAAACAGGAAAGGTGGCTAAAAGTCAAACATGGAAGGTGATTTTCCTTAACAGGCTGACATCAAAGCAAATAAGTTAAATTCCCTTTTCCTAATCACACTCCGAAGGGTGCTGCTGTCACTTTTTCTTGGATAATTGGGCACGTCCCCAGCTAGATCCTAACCAGAAATTCGAGCGGCCTGACCACACGTGGATCTTTCAGTCGGCTTCCTTTGCCTTGGCCGCAGGCGTTGTTGCGAGCCCTGGCGGACTACACCAGCGATGGGCCCGAGAAGCGAAGGCTGCAGGAGCTGTGCAGCCGCCAGGGCGCGGCCGATTACAACCGTTTCGTGCGAGATGCGCGCGCCAGCCTGTCCGACCTGCTCCTCGCGTTCCCGTCCTGCCAGCCGCCACTTCGTCTCCTGCTCGGTGAGTGGCCACTCTCCCTCCCCTGCGCCCAGCGGGCCTTTCTGTTCAGAGCCCTCTGCTTGGGGGCCGCCCTCTGCAGTCTGTCAGGCACCTGGGAACACAGCTCCGCGAGGAAACGTCAGGGTGTGTTCAGGGCCTCCTGGGAGCTGGAAGGAATACCTCTGCCTCGATTGTCCGTCTCCTGTTTCTTCCTTCTACCACTGTCACTGGCCTTTGCTCTCATTTCAGCCAGTCTTAATTCTCTTTCTTTGGGTCAGCATTTAGCTAGTTTTCAGAAAAGTTTTTTTGTTTTTGTTTTTTTTTTTTTTTAGTCTAATGTTACCTAAAAATGAGCTTCCCAAGGAAAAAAAAATTTTTTTCTTTTTCAAAGCTGATGAACAGGGGCGCCTGGGTGGCTCAGGCAGTTAAGCGTCTGCCTTCGGCTCAGGTCATGATCCCAGGGTCCTGGGATCGAGCCCCACATCAGGCTCCCTGCTCAGTGGGAAGTCTGCTTCTCCCTCTCCCACTCCCCCTGCTTGTGTTTCCTCTCTCTCGCTGTCTCTCTCTCTGTCAAATAAAATCTTAAAAGAAAACAAAAAAGGCACCTGGGTGGCTCAGTTGGTTAAGCGACTGTCTTCGGCTCAGGTTATGATCGTGGAGTCCCAGGATCGAGTCCCACATTGGGCTCCATGCTCAGCAGGGAGTCTGCTTCTCCCTCTCCCGCTCCCCCCTCTTGTGGTCTCTCTCTCATTCTCTCTCTCAAATAAATTAAAAAAAAAATCTTTAAAAAAATAAAGGCTGATGAGCAGTAGACGTAATTGACAGAGGTTAATGCGGTGTGCTGTCTGTGCGGAAGACAGGAATGCCGCTGTCTGGCCAAGTCCAGCTCAGGGTTCTCCAAGGGCCATGGAGACCCCTCCTGCTATGCCGGTGCAAGTGGCCTTGTTCAGGGTGCTCCAGGCTTGAAGCTGGGGCGAGACATGTCACAAAATAATCAAACGGAAGATGACTCTGTTTTTGTCCTCATTGTCTCCTGGGGTCTTCATGCGCACAGGAGGGAGAAGATCCTCTTTGAGGAACTGGTGTCAGGAGAGGGGGCTTTCGGTGGCAGCCTCACTGGGGATTGGAGAAATTTGCGAGGGGCAGCGACTGTGAAAATTGGACAGGATTTTTAAACCTTGAGTACTTTACTGTGCTGGTAATTTTCTTCTCTCCTCTCTCTCTTCCCGTAATGATAAGTAATAAAATATTTAAAATTTGCCTTTACTTTTGGTGGTAGGAAAATGTGTATCGTGCTTTTTACTTTTAGGCCCCAGGTCCCCCGATGTCCAGTACAGTTTGGGGCATTCTCCTGTATTAAGTCAGATCCTGCTTTCTCTCCCTTTTACTATTCCTTTTCCTTCTCAAAATGGTGAAGTTACTAGATGAGGTCGCTCTTCCCTCTTCCCTGTATTCAAACTCATACCGCTCCCCTTCTCAGTTTAGAATGAATACAGGGGTTGGGAGAATAATCAGAACATATGTAGGGAAGTTGTAAGAACTCTTGTAAAGCTATCCAGCGTATGAGAATGTTTTAGTTCTTTTCATGGATTTGATGGATTTTTTTTGAACTTTTATACAGCATTTATTATGTAGTTCTATAAAAACTAATATAGGCATTGAGACTTAAAGAAATTTAAATTATTTTCCACTTCTTTGAGTAAACAATGTATCTAAAGCTTAGTATTATGTTGAGCTCTCTATTAAACGTTATTCTGTTACTAAATTTTAGAAAGGTCTTTCCAAGTTTTTGCCAGATAACTATGAAAAACATAACCTTGATAAGACTGTTGAATCACAGCCCTGTGCCTCTGAAACAAACAATACATTATATGTTAAAAAAAAAAAAGATAGCAGGAGGGGAAAAATGAAGGGGGAGAAATCGGAGGGGGAGAGGAACCATGAGAGACGATGGACTCTGAGAAACAAACTGAGGGTTCTAGAGGGGAGGTGGGTGGGGGGATGGGTTAGCCTGGTGATGGGTATTAAGGAGGGCACGTTCTGCATGGAGCACTGGATGTTATACACAAACAATCATGGAACACTACATCAAAAACTAATGATGTAATGTATGGTGATTAACGTAACATAATAAAATGAAGTATATAACCTTGAACAGAAAAAAGTTTTAGAGTTTGTTGGTGGGCAGTTAGGTATTCAAAGATTGATTCTTTGACCTGCTTTAAAAGAGCTCCAGCGTATCTAGAAACCACTGGGTTCTGGATGACTTAAAAGTTTTACCACTATACTCTCATTTTGTTGCTATAGAAATATAAGGAGGAAAGATATTTCCAGCCTAGGTATTTCCCATAATCCTTAAAATAGTGATCTTTAATCTTTTGGGGGTCATGATCTTATTTCAAATATGAAAACTCTGGATGCTTCTGCAGAAAACTGTGTACACACAGAAAATTTAATGGGTTTCTTGATTCTGAAACCCATTCACAGATGCTTTTATTATCCTTCGGTTAAGAAACCAGCGTTTAGAAAGACAGTGATTTCAGGTAAAGAAATGCAATATGTCTCATTTTTTAACGTGAAGAATTAGAAAAAAATATTCAGTAAAGACTTATTTAGTCACAGTGAATTTACATTTGCTCTAAAATATTTAAATTAAAATGTTATTTTTGGGTGTTCTAAATAAGAAAAAGCCAACTCAGGCTTGAATTTTTACAAAACCTTACATATAATTTTCAGTAGCAGTAAAGTAATTGCTTATTTTTAATTTTTTTTTTTTTTTTTAGAACATCTTCCTAAGCTCCAGCCCAGACCATATTCATGTGCGAGGTATGGATATTTATTAACATATAGCATCTTTCTCCCAAAATGTTGTGAATCTCTGGCTTCCAAATCCTTATTAGTTCTGAATTCCCCCAGTGAAAACTTAACCTGATTTGTGGACAGTAGCAGGCGTGGTAGGGACTGAAGGAGACCGATGTTGGGACTCCCGTCCTGCAGGTGTTCAGAGAGTGTAGAATCTCCAGCGTGCTCCTGTCCACAGTCACGTTCCCCCATGTTGGGCTGCGAGTGCCCCGGTCCTCCACCTGCTGCTTCTCCAGCCGTGCCCGGCCACCTCCACTGGGCAGCAGAGGTGGGCAGTGGACAGATGAAAGGTTGTATAAATCTTAAGGAGTCTTAAAGCAAACAGGTAATTGGAAACTTTTCTGAATATCACAAAACAGGGGGCAGGAGAGGAGGAGCTTTTAAGTAGCAACAGAGCTCCTTTCCCTGAAAAGTTAGAAGGTAGATGAGAGCCCACAGGAAATACCCTTCAGTTCAGTAAAAAAGGCTGCGTCTGGCCTGTGTGCGTTAGTCCTGATAACAGAGTTTAAAACTGACCTGTGTGTCTCTGCAGCTCAAACCTGACTCACCCAGGGAAGCTTCATTTCATTTTTAACATTGTGGAGTTTTTGTCTAACACCACAATGGAGGTTCTGCGGAAGGGCGTGTGCACAGGCTGGCTGGCCACGGTGGTCGCGTCCATTCTTCATCCAGACCCGCGAGTGTCCCATGCAGAAGGTGGGAAAGCCCCGGCTCCGGAGGTACTGGGAGTGTGCAGTTTGGGCATTAATAGAATTATGCTATTTGCCTGGTTAATGTGGTCTTCCCTGCATTGTCTGTGTCCATCAGGTTTATTCAAAGGAAAATGTTTGCCATACTTGAATTTTAAAATCTCTACTGGAAAGTCAGGAAAACGTTACATTTTCATTTATTATTAATCCATATGTTTCTCAAATATGTAAAGTGTGAATTTTGTATAATACAGTCTTTTCTCCTCCTCGTCATATTCATAGAAAAGAAGATCTTTTTGGCTAATACTTTTCGAAGATTGGGCACAGGAAAAGAGCCATGTAAATACTGAAGGCTGGTGTTGAGGGACAGCCTCATCTTATGTATAGACTATACCCTGTGTCCCAGATAAATCCTTACTTGGCAATCAGTTGACAACCAAAGGTTAATTTTATGTCCCTCAGTTTTGGGTAGTAGGATTTTGCTGTGTTTCTTCCCTTTTTGTCTTAGATGTGGTGTAGAATCCAAATTAGTGCTGTTAGGGTGAAGGCATAATGAGGGGGAAGCACTTTTAAACACGTAGGAGAAACATGTTCCTTGATTTTTGTGACCAAACCGTGGACACATTTACATCTGGACTTAGTGCCATCCTTCATGTTTTGATACAGCACTCGGTGAATCTCACTCAAGACCACAGCATAAGGAACAATTTAAAGTCCCTCCTTGCCCGTAAGCATGGTTGAAATTAAACAGAACATTTCAGGCTTTATCACGAAGTCGTCTCTCTGTGGTATTGAAAAAACGTGTCTTTTGTAGCGTTATTTTAGGACTGGTTTGGTTGCTATAAGTTATTGGAGTTGAAAAGTTCATGCCCTAAGGGGAAAGTAAGACTTCAGTATATACTTGAGAGCACTCATGGGAAGCTGCTGCTTGAAATTGCCCTTTACCGTGGTATTTTCCCAGGCTCCTGTCTGGGATGGAGGTGCCTGAGAGAGTGCGAGAAAGAGAGACCCCCTCCCTTCACCCTCCCCCAATACTCCTAGGTCACAACGCATCAACAAAATATTAAGAACCTGAGACACTTCCTTTTTGAGAAGAAACATTATGGTATGGACATAAAAGTATTATGTCATTTTATGATCCTATAAAAATGCATGCTCTCCGGAAAGTTAAAGAAATACATATATCCATAACCTATCACAAACACCGAGCATGGGTGCCATTCACACATTCTTTTTCTCCCTTCCGCCTTTTTCTTTCTCCTTTGTCCATTTTAACAGATCTTTATTATAGACTCTCTAGTATTCAGGCATTAGAGGTAACAGGAGTAAGGATACAATTTGAATTATATGGTGCTTACTGCCCTACCTATTTTGTTAGGAAGTGTAGAGAATGTTAACATTCACATGACCCACCCACACCTTCCAACTGGTAGATGGGACAGCTGTTGACAGATACCCCCTGTCCTTGGGAAGCATAGACTGCCCCGCCCATTGATGTGTGGTCTGGCTGTGTGACCACATTCTACCAGTGAGATGTGAGCAGACAGGATCTGTGCCCCCTTTAAGCAGGAGTGCTAAACCCCCTGCTGGCGTGGCTTGCTCCTCTCTCCTCTTTGACGGAAGGATAGGATGAGGCAGGTCAGGGATGCTCCGTGGACTTGGATACAAGTGGAGGGGATCTGGGCTGCAGAGCTGTAGCCCACCTGTAGCCTTCAAGGAGAGCCAGGCAGAAGCGTTCGATGTTGTAAACCGTTTGAGATCTACTGCAGCAAGAGTGGACTAATCCCGGTCTCCTTGCGGCCCCTAGAAAGCAGGCCCTGTACTCTCACTGGCACAGCCCGTCCTCCCCAGTGTATCCTGCTTTAGTGTGGTTCACGGGGCTTATCATTACCAGTCATTTCACAGATGAATATTTGATTATTGTCTCTTCCTTCCATTAGAATGTAAGTCCATGAGAACAGGGATTCTGTTCATTTCTCTATCTGTAGTGCTTGTATTATTGAGTACCGTCAGTGAGACTGGTAAGTGAGTGGGTCAAGTGAGACTCGTGTGAGATGAATTACAGTCTCATTCCAGAATGCCAACATTCATCTTACATTACTCTGCCAGTTCTTCCTTTACAAAGTATGGTGTTCATCCTGTCGATGGACTTCAAAAGGTTTTCCTTACATTAAAGGTTAAAATATATACGGTTACACCTAGAACAGATTCCTGTCACTTGGTATAACTCACGCATATGGAGAAGTGACACTGGGAATGAGATATATTTAGAAATGGATTCCTTGTACATACCCCTGGCACATGATTTAGAAGAAAAGTCTTCTGAAATTTTAGCGAAAAGATTGTCTTTATCTGTGTATGCTGCTTATTCTTCTAGTTTTGCAAGAACACATAACATCAGACTTTAAACAAACATCGCACAGTTCTTCATCTTTGGAGCGACCCCCTCATTTTTCCTTCAGGTGCCAATTTGCTCTTGAAGCTCTCAGTCCATCTTGATGTTGATCTTCATTGCCCCTTTATGTGTAAACACAGAATCCTAGCTTCAGTTTGCCGTGCATTTCTCCATAATACAGATAATGGGTTGCCTACTAGGAAGTAGATCTTACTCATGGGCCTAGGAAAAGAATTTGATTTGTATCTATTCAGTGTTCTACCTGAGAAATATGCCTGTCATTTCTAAAGCACCTTTGATTTTGATGGAAAAGAAGTATTTGCAAGACAGTCTTGTCTGTTTTATTTTTTCTCTGTAATGACAAATGTGTTCATGGTTTCAGTGAGATTTAATGCTGCTATTTAATTTCTTTAGCAGAGATCATCTTGGTGATATGCCTTTGTCTAGGTTTTCTTTCAGAGTCATGAGCATTGGTTTCATATTCCAGATATCCATCTCTCCTCGAACAACCAATTTTTTCCACTTACCGAGTGACCCCTCAGCCCCCATCATAATGGTGGGTCCGGGAACTGGCATAGCGCCCTTCATTGGTTTCCTGCAACACAGGTGTGTGCTTTCTTTGACTACTGAGAAAATGTATCCCTTGTGATCCTGGGTGGAAATATAATAGCCTTTTTGTTTCTTCAGTGCTTTTTTTGGATGTTGGACTTCGGTTGTAAAAGTTTTATTTTAAAAAATTACTATCAGATGTGTGAAAACATAGCATAATTTGTCACCATGGGAAGAGTAAACATGATGTCTTCCAGAGGTTTCGTTTTGTATTAGAACTTCCCTTTTTACTGTAGCACTTTCTTTTTCTTTTATTTTCCCAGCTGCACTATAGTTTATAACGTATGTAGTTGGGGACAAATTTCAGGCACACCTTTAAGCTGTGATGATGTATAGGCTGTTCCATCTATTTCTTAACTAGGTAAAATTGCTACTAACAGACATCCAGTTATACCAAAAGTTTCAAAGTTAAACCCAAATGTCGGTAATTTTCAGCAGATTGATATTAGTAGATGTGGTTTTGTATCAGTGCAGAACTATTTGATATAAAATAAATTGTGCTTCTCTCCTTGTTTGTGAAATAATGAACAATTCTTTGCTGGTCCCCAGATAGTGGTGTAATATCCTTTGGACAAAGTCTTTTTGTTGTTTTTAGTTTTAATTTTTTTCTTAAAGGAAGCAAAGAGTAATGGCAGACATTCCTGAAACCCTTCATAGCAGATCATTCTGCCATTTAAAGCCCTGGGCCACTTTTCCATTACGTTAATTAAGAGTTAATTTTATTCACAAAGTTGCTATTAATATTTAGTGTAGAAATTAGGTTTCACACTGGGATATTTTGAATTCTCCACATAGATGCCATACAGAGCTTGTAGGAGTCTGTAGCACACAGATGCGTGTGCTTGTGGGAGTGGGTGTCTGATGGGGCGCTTGGGAGCCCTGTGGGCAGGACTATGTTAACTCAGGGGCTAAACTCACAGTGACGGTGAATCCTGTCTGGATTGGTTGGTGGTATTTCTGACCAAATAGATTGGTTTTACATATTCTTTATATCCAACATCTCAACTTTCTTTTGCACGTAGAGAGAAACTCCAAGAACAACATCCAGATGGACACTTTGGAGCAATGTGGTTGTTTTTTGGCTGCCGCCATAAGGATCGGGATTATTTATTCAGGTACTCTACGATTCTAGTATTGGAAGACTCAACAATGGGTATACAGTTCTCATTTCAGACCTTTTAACTTTAAATGACAAACCTCTCAGTAACCTATTATATATTATATTTCAGAGAGGAGCTCAGACATTTCCACCAGCGTGGAATCCTGACTCACTTGAAGGTTTCCTTCTCAAGAGATGCTCCTGTTGGAGAGGAGGAAGCCCCAGTGAAGTACGTGCAAGACAACATCTGGCTTCACAGCAAGCAGGTGGCAAAGCTCCTTCTTCATGAGCACGGCTGTATTTACGTCTGTGGGTAAGTGGCAACCACTCAAATGCCAGGTAGGCGAAGGCAGTTGATAATATTTATTAAATGAACCAGGGGCCATTAATAATCTAGACAGGTTGGGATGAGAGATTGGATTCTTAAGTACAAGAATAGAAATACAAGTTCTGAAATGATTTTAACATTTAATAGCCAAGAAGTTGTCATTATCAGGGAAATAGAAGTGAAGTCAGTTCTTGCATTTCAGAATACATTGTGCCATATTGAATACAGGTTTGAGCCTCTGAAAGTTTTATTTGGTGTTCAGATGCTGATCATTTAACTTGAAGTCTCAGGATTGATTTTGTTGTGTCCAAGAATGTGTGATATGTGCATTTGACCTGGCTAAGGAAAACCATGGTTTTGGCTCTGAGAATGTGGATCTAAAGATCCTTTTTTTTTTTTTTAGGCATAATTTGTAATGTCAAAGTTGAGAGTAAGCCAGGAGTCATTTTTATGTTGAGTTTTATATACTTTCTGAGGCAAGATCTGTTACAGAAACCCAAAATTGCCATAAATAAAAATTTTAGAAACTTACCAACTTGTTGTAATGGAATTCAAAAAAACTGTGCTAATTAAAAAGGTCTTTTGAGTAAGAAATAGCTCTTTTTAATTCTGGCACATCCCAGGCATTTAAAACTTACATACATCACCAAGTCAGGTGTGGTTTTTGTTGTTGTTGTTTTCACCTGTGATACCAAAGCAGAAATACTGGTACAGTGGCCTAGAATATAGATATAAATATAATAGAAACAAGTTTTATAAAACAACTTTTTCTGTTTACTTCTCATGACATGTTGTGGTAACTTCTGTTTTATTGTTTTTTAAAAATTGATTTTGCCTCCTAAGTTGATTTTATGACCCGTTCATGGATTTTTGACTCTCAGTTGAGAAACCCTGCTTTAGGTTGATAAAGGGCATAGATTCTGGACATTGTGCTGGTTTACATTTTCATTTAGTTTTTTTTTTTTTTTTTTTATTTATTTGAGAGAGAGAGAATGAGAGATAGCACAAGAGGGAAGAGGGTCAGAGGGAGAAGCAGACTCCCTGCTGAGCAGGGAGCCCGATGCGGGACTCGATCCCGGGACTCCAGGATCATGACCTGAGCCAAAGGCAGTCACTTAACCAACTGAGCCACCTAGGCGCCCTTCATTTAGTTTTTAAAGAAGTGTTTGACCTTCACTTTGTAGAGGATAGAGCTGTCAGTGTTGAACAGGCTGGAATTTTAAAGATTTTATTTATTAGAGCACAAGCACAAGTGGGGGGAGCAGCAGAGGGAGAGGGGGAAGCAGACCCCCAGCTGAGCAGGGAGCCCGATGTGGGACTTGATCCCAGGACCATAGAATCGTGACCTGAGCCAAAGGCAGACACTTAACTGACTGATCCACCCAGGTGCCCCCAGGCTGGAGTTCTAGTTGTATGTCTAACTAATAGAGGCAAAGTCAGTTGTACAAATACATGAAAACTGGTAAATGACAGCTTGGAGAATATCTTAAATGTCCAAACACGTTAACCCAGAAATTGCTTTTTACAATCACTGGTGCTTCACTTTTCCCATCTGCACAGTGGAATTGATAGTGTTCATGACAGTGGTCAGTGGCGGGGGCTCAGAACGAGACCCCATGGCACCCTAATGCGGACCAGCCCCTTGGCGGGAGTGAATCTGTCCCTAAATCCAGGGGACACTGTCCCAAGCGGGGGAGCCTTATGCTGCTGATAAGTAAGAAGACAGAGGGGACCAGTAGGTTTGGCAACTGGCAGCCACTAGGGCCATGGGAAGGGCTGTGGGGATGGAAGCTCCGTCAGAGTGGTTGAGGGGAAGCATGATGAGGAAGTCGAGGTGGCCACTGGAGACACCTTTTTCAAGAAATGTTACTGTAAGGGACAGGACAAGTTCCTTTGCGGACATATTAGTGTCCTGTCCAACTTTTACTCATTCAACAACATTTGGTGCCTCCTGAGTGCTTTGGCACGGTTCAGATGTTGAGAGATGCAAGGCTAAGTGAGCCACACTCCGTGCCCACAGACTGTACACTCCCTGGCGGGAAAGCCACATCAGCAGGTGCTCACAGTATAGCAGATGCCATGTCGGGGCTGCAGGGGCACACAGGAGGGCCCCTCCCCCGTCCCATAAATGAATAAGCTAAAACATGGCAAAGCACTTAGAGCCAGGCCCATAACTGAGTTCTCAGTAAGTGTGTCTGTTAATAATTGCGTGCACGCACGTGTGCGCACATGAAGGCTTGTAGGCATAAAGCCTTGTTGCCCTTAGGAATGCAAGTTCTGCTGTGTGCCCGGAGAATGAAGGGAGGCGATGAGAGAGGAGCAGGAGCCTGGTTTACGAGATCATTAGACACTTATTGAAGACTCAGCTGCTCCTGGAACATGGACGCCTTGGAGGGGCTTTCAGCTGTGAATGATGTGGTCAGCTTTGCCAATTGGATTGGTCACTGGGTAGAGGTCTTACGGATGACAGGCTGGGACACCTGATGGGACGCTAACCAGAGAAATGGAGGGAGGGCCAGGCTGGGCGATGGTAGAGTCAGTGGGAGTTAGATTTGTGAATTATGGAGGCTTTAGTAGAGATTCTTGTTTTCTAAACATCGATGCTGTTGTTTTTTTCTAGAGATGCTAAGAATATGGCCAAAGATGTCAATGATACCCTTGTGGAAATAATCAGCAAAGAGGCTGGAATTGAAAAACTAGAAGCAATGAAAACATTGGCTACTTTGAAAGAAGAAAAACGGTATCTTCAGGATATTTGGTCATAAAATCAGAAAATAAAGGAAGAGAATGATGCTTTTTTGGCTCAAAGTAGTAAAAGACCATTTGGCTGAAACAGACTTTCCATTTTTAAAAATTAAAAATTTTTTTGGAGGAGGTAGAGTGGGAGTGGGTTGCCTTCCCGCGATAGCAGCCTTCTGATTGGGTTTTCCCGCAGCCCCTCTGCTCTCCCCGCGCCGGCTTCAGCTTGGCCTCCTGAGCTGAGGGGCAGCCCTCCTGCCCAGCACCACACATCACAGGTGCCGCCTCCAGGTCACAGGGAAGGCGTCTGTGTGACGAGGCTTCCCAGCATGGACGTGGGCACGCACGCCCACCACGTAGATGGTTAAAGCCTGTGAACTTACGTTGCCAGTTTTTAAAATAGGAAAAATAATTTATTTTTATATGAACTCTACCGTAAAGATTACTCCTATTAATGTATTAAAATTAACTCTGTATAGTTACTTGTTTATCCAGACAGTTCCTGACTTGGGATTGACAACGGTGTAAAAGCCAAACACGTTCAGTAGAAACGGGACTTCAGATTTTGAGTGTGGATCTTCTCTCAGGCTGCTAGCGAGTGATCACATCTTGCTCCTGATGCTGGGCAGCGGCAGCAGTCTCCAGGGTCAACAGCCATCCGTGCCCACACAACCATTTTGTCACTTTCAGTGCAGTATTCAGCCCGTTACATGAGCTATTCCCTATTATGTGACTGTAGGCTCCTGTTTAAGTGCTCTGAGCACATGTGAGGTAGGGTAGACCAAGCTGTGGTATTTGGTGTCTTAAATGCTTTTTGACCTAACAATATTTTCAGTTTATAATGAATGTGTCAGGATGTAACTTCACTATAAGTTAAGGAAGATGTGTATAACTTTATCAAATGGTTATTTATTACCAAAACTATATTTCTGATAAAAAAATATTAAGGTAATGCTCAGAGATTTTTTTTAAATGAGTTTAGAAATGTGAAGTATATTTTAAAATTGTTATGATTTATTTATCACAGTTACTTCTTAATATCCCAGTTCTAGAATTTAGAGAAATTTGCATTCAGTTTCTGGTGCGAGCAAGTATATATTTTAGTAAAACTACAACCCCCCCCATTCTTCCTCTGTGTTCTTTTTGGCATATTTTTTAGTTTCCGTACATTATCTTAACCCCATGATAGCAATCAAATTGTATCCTAGGCTTAAAATGCCTGCCTAAATTAGTATCCTTATATTTTTAAAAATTCCTACTGCGTTCTGAATATTTATGTCCCTCCAAATTCCTGTGTTCCAGTGTTAACCTCCGTTACAATGACAGTAAGAGGTGGGGCCTCTGGGAGGCGCTTAGGTCAAGAGGGTGGAGCCCTCAGGCATGGCATCGGTGCCCTGATGAGAGGCCCCCCAGAGCTCGTGGCTCCTTCTGCCTGGTGAGGACACAGCAGTCACAGTCTGTAGCCGGAAGGGAGCTCTCGCCAGAACCTGACCCCACCCTCACCCCACTCTTGGACCCCACTCTCCAGCCTCCAGGACGGAGAGAAATAAATCCTTGTTTATGAGCCACCCACTGTCTGGTGTTTTGTTACAGCTGCCCAAATTGGACTATGGCCAATTCCCAGTGACAAGTTCTCTTAAAACTTGTCAGAACAGAAAACAGTGTAAAAGGGTATGATTAATTTTTCTAGGCTCTGGTGTATGTTGGTTTTTTTTAGTCAAGAGATTGGCATTTGAAAGGACAAAGAACAATGTTCTTTACTGGTAAGTGTCACAGGATGGAATAAGAACTCGTGTTCACCTACCACTGTTGTCTGTGAACGGGACCCCAGAGCTGACCCGGAAAGAGAAACTGACAAATACGCCATCCCAGTGGGTGCTGGCACTGCCCTCGGCCGTCTCGTCCACCTCCAGCATCCACGTTACTCCTGTTAGGCAGCGTTAGATACCAAGTGCTAGGGCACGTCCGTCGGCTCGCTCACAGCCTCACCACAGGATGATAGTGAAAATAGCATGAGAAACAGCTCCTACAGCCTGTTAGGTGAGCTTAGTGGAGGTCCAGGTCTCTCGCCAGATGGTCCATGACCTCTCGGAGGAAAAGTTTCAGGGTGGTTTCGACGTTCCAGGGGCAGGATTTTGTCCATCTAACCACAGTGGGCTGCCCCCCAATCCCAGGGGCTAGACACAGTGGTGCTGTAGGGCTGTCTCAGGCCCTAACCAGGGGCCTCACCAGGTCCTCTGACCTGTATGTAGGCGTGGGGAGCACCCCTGAATATCCAAACTCCACCAGATCTTGAATACCACTAATTTTACCAAAGAGAGATCTAACAGTCATTCTAACAAGCCACTGTTGGACCCATTGTTTTCAGCACCAGTGCTGATCAGGGAAAGTCACCAAAGAGCTGGGGCAGCTAGCTGTCTGCAATGTGGGTTTTTTCACTAGAATGCTAAGTGTACCCAGAGGGTTCTTTACTCTGTGTAACACACCTATGTATCTGTGCCAAGGATTTCTACACTCAGATAAAATTGAATTTGACAGAAAACTAAATGTATATGCCACATCCAACAAACTAGGCACTTCATTGCTTTCCAATATACTTGATTGGAAATTGATTATGAACTAGGCCATAGAGAAAACGATTGCATAAAATAAGGCATTGTTCTCTGACCCTAATGGAGTTAATGAATTAAACAAAGCTACCCACAGAGCACATAATAAAAACACATGAAAATGATCCATGGCATAGGAGAAAATAAAAATGGATTATAGAATATTTGGAACTGATTTCTCTTAGACTACTAAATGAATATGGGTACAGCCAAAACAATACCCAGAGGGGGGTTTCCCCCATTTCTGCTTTGTCAGGTACTGCTTAGTACTGTGGGTACAGCAGTGAGCAAAACGTGAAACACCTCTGTTCTCAGGAAGGTTACATTCTATGTTGAGACGTATCTGAATAAATCGATGTACAAACGCATCGATAACGCACAGTTATATGCGTCTGGGAAGGTGGTACAGGCTGTGGTCTGAAGGAGGTCTGGTCTACAGTATTCCAGGGCCGAGGCAACTTCGGGGTGGGTAGTCAGGGACAGTCTCACTGGGAAAGGGAAAAACTTGAAAGGGACAAGGGAGCTGATGTGGGAAACAGGCAAAAGAACATTTTTCTTACTAATAGCCTATTGACAAGTCCTTGAAATAGAGTGATGTTCCTCTAGGAACTCAGCTGCCGTGATGTTAATACTCTGCTAAGGGCAAAAGGAAATCCTAGCTTGACCAACAGCCCCCCCCGCCCCGCCCCAATCCTGTAAGTCTACTTTAATGTATAAAAATTCCTTTAGAAACTTCCTTTATCTTTAACCCCCACAAGATACATGTTGGCAATCATCCCCCGAGCATATGGCCCACCAATACACATCAGAAGGGTCTCATGACTAAGGTTTTATTAGATGATAATAAATGACCTTTTCCCAACAATAGCTAACCCCCTCAAGGTCCTGGAAACCTGGCTTCCAAAATTCCTTAGAGACTTATTGCTGTCCCTAACCCCCTCCCAAATTGTAAGTATACAATGGGCCACTCCTCATGACCCCAGTGCGGCTCTTTCTACCCACGGGTCCTGCCCCATGCTTTAATAAAACCACCTTTTTGCACCAAAGAAATCTCAAGAATTCTTTCTTGGCCGTTGGCTTTGAACCCTGACATCTTTCCCACATCAGAGCCAGCCACTGTGGATTTCTTCAGGCTGAGGGGGCAGGACAAAGGCCCTGAGAGGTAGGACAGTGGCCAGTGGGACAGAGAAGGGTAGGTCTGACGGTGCCTGCCTGGAGGCCGCTGTAGATTAATGCGTTTACCCTGAGTGTCCAGAGAGCTACTTGATAGAAGGCATAACATGATCTAGCTTCCACTCTGGAGGGCTTACTCCGGCTGTCCTGGGGAAGCCAGGGATCAGAGCAGCTAAACCTCAGAGAGCTGACATGATACAAAGGGTCAGATCATCAAATCAGGCTCACAAGAGTCAGAAATCTTAACCAGTATTGACCTTTACTAACGTCAGGTGTGCAGGTAATTTCAGGACACAGGTGAAGTGCGGAGAAATCTAGGACTGCCTCCACTGCTGCTCCCCTGTTCTTCCTTCTCAGGTCCTTAGGCCCTGGCTGATATTTAGCATATGCATGTCACAGAGGGGGCATCCCTCATACAAAAGGAGCTATTTAGGTCATGGAATGTCTTCATTTTACCTGACAAAAATCACACAGAGAATGTAACGTTTTCTGGAAAGCCAAGCCTCATACATCTTCCATCCTGGGTTCATTTATATTGCACATGCTGGACAAACTGCCCAAACTATTCAGTAATTGCATTAAGGGTACGAAACAGTCCAAGTAAAAGAAATAATGTTAAGCAAACCCACCCATATGCTGTTTAGAAGAGACAAGACTCACTTTAAGTTTGAAAGCTTGGAAAAGGACATGCCATGCACACAAGAAAGATGAACAATATAAACAGGAAACTTGAAGAAATGCTAGTAGAGAGATTTTCATGGTGATTAGAGTTAATAAGGAAGACATGAAAATCCCAAGTATGCACTTAATAACAAAGCTCTGAAATATATACATTTGTCAGAAAAGATAAAAGGAGGAAAAGCCAAATCTAAAATCCCAATTGGGAAATGCAATACCCCGTTCTTAGTAGCGGAAAGAACGAACAGACAGTAAACATTTAGAAGATTTTTAGCAACAGAACCAACGGGGCTGATAGACATATAAAGCATCCTGACAGTGACCCCTTCAGAACAGGGCTTCTGTTCTAGTTGATACTGAGTATTTGTCAGAGTAGACCAACTTCCAGAAAGATGGAGACCATACGATGGGTTTTCTAAGAATCAAAAGTCAATACCTAAATGAAACTAGAAAAATCCCCGTTTAAAAAATAAGCAACGCACAAAATAACTCATGAGTCAAAGAAAACTCACAAAGGAAATTAGAAAATATTTTGAAGAAGGAAAAAAGGACATACCAAAATTTGT